ATGGAAAAAGCATTAAATTAAAGACTTTTCCCAAGATTACTTAATCAGTCTCTGTGGTGTAGTGGTTAGGTGTAGTCGCGTCGAGTCGATGGTGCTGGGTTCGAATCCTACCGAACTTTTTTTTTCCTTCTTTCTTTCTTTTTTTCCGTTTTTTGTGTTGTTGTTTTCCATAAATATATAGCTAAATGACTGTTACTTAATAAAGTGCAATAAACAGCAAGAAAAGTATCGTGTTTCCAGAGAAATGATAGTACACCATATATTAAATATATGGATAAACAATCTATCATTTCCTACAATTTACTGTGGGAAAACCAGAGTTGATAACCACTTGATCATTTTCTAAACAACGTTCCCACGAGTTCTTTCTATAGACTGATAGTAATTATTCTAGTACTTTCCAACATGTAAATAGGACATTCAATGTCATTTTAGATTCTTTCAAGTCCCACTGCCTAACTAATGCCAGTATCAACAGAATGTGCCGCAGCATTACTATCTTTTAGATACCCTAGTTATATTAGTATTAGTATCTATCTATCTATTGTAAAGTGTCTATGTTTGCTTCATGTGACATGTGAGATCTCAGTTAACCTAGATAAGGGACCTCTAATTTTTCGTGCACCCCTTCCTTTGTTCATTTGTTGGTTTGGATTAGTTTTGATCCAATTTGAAAATCTCAGGCAAACGTGTTTAGTGAGTCTTTAAGTCTCCTTTTTGTGCGCTTCTTTCCATTTCGGAGTCTTGATTTTTTTACCTCTTATGGCTCAGCGTCACTCCAGTTTGTGGTCATAGCGGGACTGAGGCTGAGACCTAACACTCCGCCTGCTTTCACTCTAGACGATACAAATCAATGAAAATAAATCATTGATTTCAATCAATATTATTCATAAAAATCTATTGATTGAAATTGATTGGCTTAGCCAATCAATAAAAATATATAATCACTCACCGATGCGTCTAGGCTTTATTGATTTTCATTGATTGCTATTGATAATCAATAGCTGATTGTGAAACAGTAAAAACCGGGTTAGGCGTTTGCTTAAACATGGTCGCAAACACAACAACGCGGCTATGTCTGTGGAAATTTCTATATCCTGTGTAGTCAAGGGGTATCACCACTGTCCTTTTAAAGAAAAGGAAGGGGAAGTGTTTTCCATTTCCAAGAAGAAGAGAGAACGCGGTAACGCATTCAAAGTTTTCAGTGAAAGAGGCCAACTTCAAGGCCATCTCCAAGGGGAGTTTGTCAGCTCACTCTAATTTGTCTGATATATTCAGCTACGAATTCGATAAATGTACTAAACAAAATTATAGGCGGGCTCGAGGACATGTGTAACGTCATGCTCAGTTAAACGTTATGGACCGCTCGTATGCATCTGTACATTGCAGTTACGGTTTTTGCCTGTTGTCAATACAGGAAGATAATAGACTGTGGTTTTTTACTGTTGTTTCTGTTGTACTGTTTTAATTTCTTAGCTTATCGTAGATCGGACCATGAAAACTTAATGGGTTAAATTTCTAAGCCGTGTGACGTGTTATAAAAAGAAAGCACATTTTAGTTTTCAATAAATATCAATGAAATCAATGTAAATCAATGAAAATAGAAAATCACTCAAGACTGCAGTTTTGATTTTTACCGGCTTTCAATATCAAGCAATTAATTGCTATTGATGTTATTGATTATTGATTATGATTGAATGGTATCGTCTGGTTTCACTTAATGAAGCGATGGTTAAAGACTATACCACGAGTGCCCACTTTCGCTGTCGGTGTCGGTGAAAAGTTTATTATAGCGGAGCTCTCGCGCGCGAAGCGCGCCAGCGGAGCACCATGGGTAAGAAAATTTGGTAAACTCTCCATCCGATAAAATTTGGTTATGACGTAGCGTAACTGGTAACTGTTGGCTACGAGTCAGTGGCGTTTGTTCTAAGTTAGTAAACCAGCTTTAAGACGTTGATAGTAGTCTGTAGAATACGTTATACATGTTGCAGAGTCCCAGTCAATTCGATGTTTTGTCTGTAAATGGTGCTCAGCAATGTGATTGTTGACGTCACCATTCCTCGTCGCTCGTTTGTGTTCGTTCAGTGGCGTGCTTAGGTTTCTGCACGTTTCACCAATGTAAGAAGCCTGGCAGTCGCAGCATTTGATCTTGTATACTGCTCCCTGTCTGTCCTCCGATTTGTCTTTGTTCTTGACATTAGTAAACAGTCGCTGTAAAGTGGTTATCGGTTTGTGTGCAACACGTATAATGGTAAGGTTTTAATATTCGTGAAATAGTTTCAGAGGTGCTTCTGGAGTACGGTATAGTCGTTGTCGTAACAGGGCCAGAGTTGTTCTGAGTGTTGGAATCAGTGTTACTGTGAGTGTTCCGTCTAACACAGTCCGTGTTGTAATTGTTCTTACTAAAAACGTTGTTAAGTTAACCATGCAGTCTCGTCTTGTAGGCTGTCAGGTGAGTCGCAAACTAGTTGCGCTCGTCTCGTCAGAGTCCGGATGGTAGTAGCCTTTGTGAGAGGCCAGGTTGTACGAAGACTGGTGTAGTAATCGGTCGGTATGTGTCGGTTTTCTGTAAATAGTCGTTTTTAGTTTGTTGTTGTCGCGAGTGACCAAGCAGTCTATATAAAAGGTATGTTACCATTTTCTTCGATCTCCTTGGTGAACTGTATGTCCGCGTTCTGTGTTCAAACCTTTCACAAGAATCAGCTAGCTACTGCATTTTCCTTCTTAGATATTAACTAAAAATGTCCTTCGGAAAAGGCAGAAAATGGTATTTCCGAGACCCTAGATTCAAACATTTTCTGGGTGCGCATTAACCACCCAGACAAAGCTCCCTAGTGCGTAAACCTTCACACTCTCACGCTACGCCCCAGATTATTATCACTTTGTTGGGTATTGTGGCGCATTTTGCGTGCTAAAATGGAGAATTTGAAAAGAGGGAAGAGCTGAACAACGTCTGTGCATGTGCAAAAACGAGGGAGGTCTGGGGGCTAATGCACCTATCAATGTAAACTCCGTGAGGGGGAAGTGCGGGCAAGGGGTGGGGATTTGACAAATTTTGAAATTTTTTGATCAAATTCCCCAGGGTGGGAAACGAAAGGTTGATCAAAAGTGTCAAAAAAAGCCCCCACCACAGGGGAAAAAATCTAAACAAACAATACTATAACACTATACAAAACAAATTACAAGAATATTTCAAAAATACGTTCTTACTACTTTTATTTATGGTTAACGTAAGCTCCGTTAAATTACTCACTGTAATTAAGTATTTTCTCTCTCCACTAGCATCTCCTATTTTGAACAACAAAATCACTCCAGGAAGATTGACTGTGCTATAATAATATTAATGAAACGTAAAATGCTTTATAACATCTGCTCAACATGTCGGAACAGGTCGGATCAGTGACCCGTAAAAAATCCTCTGACTTTCACGGTGGAATTCGATTTCAATCGAGTTTTACAATCAGATGGGAACTTGAAGATAAAACCTTTCTCAAAATAGACATTATTAACTTCACACCTTTCTCCAACAGCGTGACTTTCAGAAAGCCTCGAGGGACGGACTTGGTAACCGGTTCTGAATTGATACGAGGCTTCTGTCGGTAAAAGTCAAATGTCCCGACCCCGGGGTCGCTTCGCGCGATCAAAAGCCCGACAGGGGGATAGTCTGAGGCATCAAATCCCCGCCCCTTGCCCGAACTCCCCCCTCACGGGATTTACATTGATAGGTGCATAAGCTAGACAGTATAGTTTGCAAATGGATTTTCAAAACATCCTCACATTGTGCCGATTTTTAAGATGGTTTCCGAATATTTAAGGTTCCCATTTAAGCTAAAGGTAGATTATTTCATATTTTATTCAATTCTCTTTTCCGTCTCCGTAATTTTTCATCCCTTTTTTGGTATGAACAAAAGAAGATGAACGTACGAAGCCGAGAACAGTTCTTTCATACGGATGTGTACATGCCCAAGCGTAAACACACAGAAATGAAAGACAGACTATATATATCAGCTTGTTATCAGTTCTAAGAAATCGTTCGGACATCTCATATCAGTTTCAGCATTAAAGGTACATTTTCATATTTATCTTTATTTTTCCTTTAACCCTTTAAGCCCTTAGAGTGGTTAGCATGAAATTTCTCCGTATTATATAAATGCTTTAGAAAACAGAGTGGTCATGAGGATCGAGTACACGATCAGGGAAGATGAGTCTCACTGATATTTTAATAAATTCTCCCCACTACTTCTGTTGAAAAAGTATAGGGACAGTAAATGATAATCTCAATTTTGATATTAGGGTTTAAAGGGTTAATGATCGCCTTTAAGTTATTTCTCTTGTTATAAATACGTCTCGCTAAGTTTCACTATACCAACTGTAAGAACACAAAACAATATCCGAGGTTTCGCATTCCCTTCTTTCTTTCAAACTTATTTCCCTTTATGAGGAAGCAACCTTTATCAGGCTACCGCAGTCAGTTTCACTAACAAAGTACATGCTAGATTACAAAACTAGGCCACCAAATTTTGCTTTCTTAATCTAAATCAAAAATCTTAATTCAGTCTTGTTCTGGAGCATAGCGGTCTGGAAAAATCCCCTTTCGTTACAACAGAATAACCTTACCTGCCGTTTTTAAAAACCAGAAACTCATTGTGAAATTGAAGTGTGTCAATCCGTGTTAGTATGTTACAGCCAAACTTGTAATCCACCAATCAGTTGGGCTCATTCATGTGACTTTTGAGGGAATCGAGCGCTAAGTGATTTTAGAGTGAAACATCTTACATCGAGTTGATATCCCTATATGTACACCCAAAAAACAGCAATCATCTTCGATCACATTCAAGAGCCATAATGGCTATTGATCACAGAAATTTAGGCCTGGAGAACAAATCAGGCGAATTTCTTGGGTTCGACAAGTTTACTTCACAAAATCTTGCCAACATCTGGGGGTGAGTAAATCAACCTTTTATACTTTTTATACATCACATCTGAGGTGAAACAGTACTATGAGGCGCTGTATTTATCACACAGACCTCGGACAGAATGCAGTATTTCACAGTTTTTCAAGACAAATTGCACTCAGCCAATATTCAGGACGATCAATCGTGGGCTTTTACCGAAACCGTTCAAAAAATTTCCAAAATCACCTATACGGCAAGCAGGTTCTCACTTTTGACAAGCGCCAAATTTGCAGTGCGAGCCGTGTCGAGTGTTTGAGTAAACATTAATAGAGTTACGCCTCAACATAATAAAGAGTTTATTACGGTTTTTTATTATTTAATGGTTTTATAACGATGTGTAATCTTAAAAAGGGTTTAAGAGCCCATGACTGTAAATATCGAGAATCGCTGGCCAGGCTAAAAAAATCGTTCACTGTTTTGACGTTATGCTAATTTTTCCGAACTAATGCGGACAATACATATATCCATGACTAGTACATTTCAGTGTGAGTATTATCAATGTTTTACATTCAAAATATGCGATAAATTCAAACTAAAATGTACTAGTCATGAAGGTATGTATAGTGCGCATTATTTTGAAAAAATTAGCATAACGTCAAAACAGTGAATGTTGTAACGCAGATTTTTGACCTGCTCGTAGGATAGGTTTGTCTTGAAATTTCAAGGTGTTGCAGTGAATCAATCTTAACTAGAAATACGTGTATCGCAGAACCTCGCGAAGCTCGGGGGGGGAGCCCATAAGGCGTGGGAGGACAGGAGAGAAATGAAGTAAATCATGTAACTAGGGAGGGTGGAGCTAATATTGGAAGCTGAGATGAACTTAATCTCCTGTGGATTAAATTTGAACCTAGTGCTCTGGCTTTAAAAAGGATCTTCTGAGATTTAAATGGGGTTGCTGTTGTTAGCGAATGCTGCATAGGTCCCATCCCCCCATGTTCACTCCATTTGACCCTCCTAAATGTGTGTAATTATGGTCAAAAGGAAATGGGGGTGATAGTGGATAACTGCCGGCTAATATTCAGTTGCATTTGCTTAATAAAAGCTCACCCTTAAGTGCAATAATTATTTGTGAAATGTGTCAGTAGAAGTGAGTGGATGGCAATTCTAGGAGATAATGCTGCCGTGAAAACAACAACTAAATGTTGCTAATTGGAGAAAAAAATTATTGTTCGGCGAACTACAGCTATAAAAGTGTTTGCACTTTTTTTGGTAGATAATCACACTTGACAACTATTGTTTGTAACAGTAAAGTGCAAACATAATCACTGAAATAGAAAATTAAAAGTAGCAATGTCATTAAGGATGCAGTTCATGAGAATTACTAAAGTGATCATGATTTATGATTATTGTATTTGTGGGCATTCACCTTAAAGAACTGAATCCATGTAAAAAGTACCAATTTTTTACCAGTTAGGCAAGTGTACATGCATAAGAAACAAATCCCTATGCAAGAGTGAATTTGTATGAAATGCCCACAAACAAGTTATTTTGAAGGTGGTCAGTTTCTCCATTGGTCTTAATTCTAAACATGCATGAGCTTGTTGAGACAATGCCAGAGCCATAGATTTTTAATTTCCCAGACTGAGACGAGGCAAATGAACACTTTCTCTGTATTACACACATTTCCGGTGAATGTAACGCTAAGTACAGGATGGATTGATCTTATGGAAAACCCTACATAAATATCTGCTTGCATGTCCTTTAATTTCTTGAAACAATCTTCATCTGCCAATGGAACAAATGTTTTATTTCTGCGAACATGTCACCTCTGTCTGACTTCTTTGAAAGAGTGAAATTTTATGCGTGACCTGTTAAATTTTCCCTAACAGCGAATGGAATTAACCTTCCTGGCATGGCAACCATGTCACACACTAACATTCTGAGGATATCCGAAAATATACTGATGTTATTTTCGAATAATGTAGGAACAAAAATATAGGGGGCAAGCAATAACACATTTTTGTCATGTTTGACTTAAAAGACACAGCTGGCTTTATGTATAAGGCTGCTATAGATAGAAAATAGAAGGAAATTGAATGAAAATCCTTACTGGGGAGAATTTTTCGTTTATGTTTACAAAATGTAACGCTTCCCTACATGTCACACATTATCGGTGTTGTAAACTGTTCATGTATTTAATAAAGTTTACTGTAAAACGGTGAAAAGGCTGATCGACTGTCCTCAGTCCGTTGCAAAGATACTCCTCGTGTCGATTTTACAGATGGTATAATTCTTGCTTCCTATCGTCGCATCGAAGAAGATAATTTTGACTGTGAACTTGCCTCTCCTTGCGAATTCTATTGACCGAATACTGAAACGTCGGCAGTCGGTGTTCCCTCTCTTCGTCGGCTTCTTTTGCAGTATTTTGTTGCTAACTCTTTACATATTCGTGGTCGCTGTCTAACCTCTGGCTCTAGTTGACAGTGTTTGCCTTCGCTGTGCCGTTACTTGCGCTGACTTTAAAGTCGATGTCCTCGCTCTTGCGGAGTCTTGTTTGTAAGTCTTTCCCAGCGAGGATTTCCAGCCACTTGTTGAATCCACCTTTGTTGAGTTTGCTGTTCTCTTTTGTTTTACCTCAGAGACTGGGTGATTTACCGACCGTAAACATCGTTATCTTCATGAATAAAACAGCTTTGTCGTCGATGGCAATCGCTTGCCTGGAAACAAATAATGCGCTCGTACGTCACTAACTGGATGACGTCAAGGCGGACACCAACCAAACTCGATAGATTTATAGCCAAGAGGAAATCACGCTGGCCTTGCGATGCTTGTGTGATACACGCGCCCTTCGCGCGCGACGAGATTATAAACTTCGCTTCGCGAGGAATGAAAGTTTCAGATGTAAATCTCTGATCACTTATAGTCTAATCGTAGATCTAATAATATCATTTTGTGTTTCTTTTAAATGAATGCGCATGCCTAAATTTCAATTGAAACCATTCAATTACAGCGTAGAATGGCAAGTATATGACATTCCTGTTGTCAAATCATGTATCACTATAGAGCCTCTGAGTATTCGTCATTTTTAATATGGCGGCGTTTGTTTACATTTTATGCGCGCTAGTTTTGACACCGTTTTCGGCCAGTCTAACTTTAAAATCACCTTAATATTTAGTGAGATGACCCTCCATTTTAATTACATTGTCTAGGCGGTCAGGTATGGACTGGTAAAGGTTTCTTATATAATCCAGTTCGATGTTCTCCCCACGCTCTGGATTTCACGCAGACGATCATTTTTGGCAGCGATATCTATAGCTACCGCGGACTTTTGTAGCTCTCTCTTCATGTAGAGCCAGATATTTTCTGTTATATTTAAATCTGATGATTGTGCTGGCCATTCCATTGAGGTTACTTCGTTTTGATCGTTACAATTTTCTACAGTGTAGGCTCTGTGAACAGGCGCACTGTCATTCATGAACAAGTTAAGTATTCTTCAAAACACCAGACAACCACTGTTGGCTATTCTCAATATATGGCTACCTCGCTCTAATTTTATTTACAGTAACAATACACTTTTAACGGCAGGATGTTGTAAATCAGAACTTCATAGATATCTGAAGCACTGATATTGCCTTCTTTGTCCTGGTCTTGTGAAACCAATATTCCGACATAGTTTCGGCAGAAGCTGGTGTATGAGGCTTTTCCATACTTCGAGAACATCTTTCCTTTTAACTACGAGTCTTTGAGCCAATTCTTGCTCGGGTTTTATTTTTATTTCAGGAAAGAACTTGAGAGCGCCCTCTAGAGCCTTTTTGAATTCCTCTCTACGTCTCTGTCCATATGAAATCAAAATATCTATGAAAAATTTCAATGGCTTCTCCTTGGAGATCACTGTGCTAGTATTTACTTGCGGTCCGTGACGTCAGGGGGTATTGTATGTTATCCAATCACTGCCACATCCAGATTTTGGATGTGCGACACGATTTGCTGAATGGTTTTGTGTCAGGCCTTCCTTTCCCTTCTCCCCCCTCCCCCATCTAAGATCTCCTCTACCCAGCCCCTTAGGAAGGCCTGATATTCAGGCTATATCAGAGGTGCAATACCTCTTTACTCTCCAGTAAATTTAAGTCATCCTTTATGATTTTGGACTTTTGATTCATTAATTTTATATATAACAACAGACAAAATTAATGTTGAAAAGAGTAAATGGGAAAGAGTTTCAGTCGCAAATTGCAAGTTTACTCACGGGACTAAGTTAAATGCACTTGAGGTGACTTGTTTGGTTTGTTAGTCTGAGACAATTTATTTATCCTTTGAAAAAGCTCGCGATATATTTCTCCAAGATTTTGAAAGATCTATGTACTGAAAATTAAATCGGGGAAAGTTGTCGAGGAAAATATAAGGCAACAGAAAAATTTTTGGTCTCAGATTTCAGAGTGTGGTTGAGAACATTGAGGCTTGTTTATGTCGGTTATCGTTTATATATATAGCACAAAACAAAGCTGACATATGAATGTTCAACGTCGCAAGTAAATGGTATAAACAACATTTGAACCTTACAAAGGTGTGGCGACAAAATCGCTGCGCTCACGTCATCTGCGAGGTCTAGAGCACAAATCTTTTGGAAATTTGACACCAGTAATGGGCGTGACCAGGTGATCAAAACAGCGAAAGAAGCCAAGAGAATTGAGAAGACTCTATAGTCGCCACTCTTATTGCATTACAACGTGTTAACATGTGAGTCACACTTACCTGAGCGACCAACGGTCATCACAAGTAAAGCCACTATCATAGGTATCAGTTTCGCCATAGTTGTGCTTTAGACGTAGCAGGAATCTACACAAAATAACACTTCTTTGAGAGAGCCAAATGGGTACTAAACGAGTTACAGCTGCAACACTGGGTTACGAGAGTACGTTATTCCTGCGGAGCGCTCTGCACCCTTTCACAGAAAACGATTAAACCCAACGGGCGCACACGCGATTTCAGTGCGCATGGCGTTCTTTCAGCAGACGCGAACCTCGCAAATATTAGCTTCTTTACTATTTACGCTTGGGAATATTGTTTCTCTCCTGTCCAGTGAGATCTGTACAGGCATGCTAATTTGCAGTTAAAACGGTTACCAGTATATTAAGGATTTGTTTTATTGACTGTAAAGACAATGGTATCATATTAACTTTCCCTTATAATGTAGAATCTGTATCCTGTTTAATTCTGCAAAGAAGCGTTCGTAAACACTTGAATTCGTAATCTTTCAATCTTTCTTTATTTCACCCTATATAAGGCATTTACACAAGTGTACGTTAGTAGGAGAACAAAGTAGCTGATAAATAATCATTAACTAAAAGGCTTTAAGTTCATACAGCGTCCAATATAGCAAGAGCTTTCTTGTTAGACGCCATCATGTTCAGATAATCGGCAGCAGCAAAGAAGGGAAATAAAATCTCAAATAATATCAGTAATAGAACATATAAGTAAGGTTAAGATCAGATTAGATTGATCAGAAGATAGGACTTCCATTCTTTCTTAAACTTATGATATGGCAGACACCGTGGAGGTCAAGCGGTATAGGCTCCAAGATTTTTGGAGCGGAGAATTTAAAGGACTTCTTACCTAAATTGGTGGATACTTTTGGCCTAAAATGATTCAGTTTACTGACAAATCTTGTATTATAATCGTGTATACGCGATGCTGGAGTCAGGACATCAAGGAAGTTATCTGCAATGCTGTCAGTTTCATTTCTCATTCTATGTACAAGGCAATGAGATGCCGTACGGTACGAAACTAAATAATAGTATACGTAATCAAAAATGCCAAGTCAAATTTCAGGTTGACACCAGATCACAACCTTGATTATTTTTAATATTATAACATATACCTTATCTAATTTAAGGATAGTTAGGAATTTAAAATATGGAGCAGCACTCTCTTTAGGATGTGCAAAGAAGATGGTTCGGAGATGCTGGCAAATTAAAGCATAACAAATTTGTTTCAGTATATTCAGATCTATGTACGATCTTAGTTTTGAAAGGATTCCAAAATTTTTAGCTTATTTATTATTTACATGTTGTATCTTTGGTTGCCAATTGAGATGTTTATCTATGTAAACTCCCAAATACTTTATGTTATCTTTCTGTTCAATACCAGTGATATTTATCTTTGGGTCGCATCTAGATGATGAGACTAACATATAGTTGGTATTTGCGGTGTAAATAGGTAACTTATTTAGAGCACAGTAGTTATAAATTTGTCTAAGCTCTTGATTCATTAAGGATTCACGTTGTTTTAAGTTGTCGCTAGAGAAAAATAAATTGGTATCATCAGCAAAGTTCCGCCGCGAAAGTTTGTCGACACAGTTTGGTAAGTCGTTCACATAAAGCTAAAATAAAAGAGTCGAGCCTTAAGGTATACCGCAGGTAATATTTTCATAGCTAGATTTAGTAGAGTCAATTTTAACATATTGTCATCGTTTGTGCAAATAACGTTCAAACCAATTATGTGGTGTACTCCGAATTCCATATAGACAGAGTTTAGAGAGCAGAATTTTATGATTTACTGTGTCAAAAGCCTTTGATAGGTCAAGAAATAAACCACATGTTATTTGACCTTTATCAGTAGCTAGCGCAGTTACTTCAAGAATAGCTTGTTTAGTGGAATGTCCTTTCCTAAATCCAAACTGGTATGATGTTTCTTTATGAACGAATATAACTGATTATAGACTAGAAGCTCAAGCACTTTACTGAAGGGTCTCTTTGAATTTCTATTTCGTAGCCTGCGTGGCAGACGTTTGAAAGGGAAGGGAAAGGGAGTTTTAGACGCGAGAGAAACGCCAGGGGCGCGCGAGGAAGGAGGGAGGGAAACGCCTGCCAAGAAACCATTGTTTTTCTCCTTTTTAACATCTGCCAGGCGAATGTTAAAATCCTGATTGGTGAAAACTTAATAAGATCTAAATAGCGTGTTCTAATTGGTCACCTACATGTCATTCAGTAACTCGAGTGTTACCATTCACAACTAAACATATGTCGTAATAGTGAAGCGTTTTGAGATTTTTCTACGGAAATTCATCGTTAGAAGGCATCAATTTCAGCTTCAAAGGAGAATAGAAAAAAGCAGCCAAAGAACCGTATGAAGGAAAAGGCCTGTCAGCAGATGAGTTTACTGACTCGTTCTGAAAAGCATTATCTCCCAACGGCTTGTCGGTTTTACTCGCCAGAAGAAAGAAACGAAAAATCCTGCTACCTGTGTGCTTGTTATCTGCTGTTTGACCCGTGTTATCAACGGCAAGATGATTGAAGACGAAGCTATCTATAACTTTTGGCGATCTTCGCTCGAGGACTTCTTCTTGCCGGTTATAAAACCGCCAGGAACTTACTTTAATAACAAATTGTTGCCTTCTTGCAGATCTTCGAAGTTCAGCTCTTCTTTCCCCGCCACCAGCGTTCTTTTGTGTGCTCCACTGGATCCAGTTCGTCCTGATAGAAATTCAAATAGTGCGTGACGGCAAAGTGTTTTAAGTTTTCTTAGACAAACATTGCCGCTTGGATAACTATGACTAAAAGCTTTGACGCAAACGACATAAAAGTATCGGGAGAAGTCTACGCGCGCGGAGGGTTAATGCAAGAAATAAAAGCAATGATGGAACTAAAAAATCAAGTTTATGGTTCACACAGATCAGTTAGCACTTCCTACCCCCTGTGGTACACAAGTTTGTCAAGCAGGTCTGGGAAGGTGTCACCTGGGACAAATAAACTATTGTTTTAAGTTTGATGGGCAAATCAAGGTCGGTACAATAGACCATTTCTATTGTTGGTATGGCCATATTTATCTCAATTTTAATAGTCCATTTTCGAGTTCGCCATATTAAAGAAGTGAAGACGCATTTCTTACAGCCTTAGCCTCAATCTGGACGCTTGATCTGAAGCAATATATTTACAAATTCCGACGAGAAAAAGACCTGTTTATTGCTCTGTCTATTGTGTATATTCAAATTTCAAACACTTACTTGCCAGAATTTCTGAATATTTTACTTTACGTCGAGGCTAACTCTGTATGAATGTGTCGTTAATGTTTATATTCAGCGGTAATTTTTAATTCGAAACTGGACTATTAATCTACTATTTAATTGTATATTTAAGGTGGCCCGTTCCTATTTATATGCGTGTTAATTATGTTTTTGATTCGCGTTTTTTCAGAATAAAAGATTCAACCAATTTCTACGATATTTTGCATCCTTAATAAATAATGATGGAACTTTAAGAAAATGTTATTTATTTTCTAATAGGTTTAAAAACTTTTGAGATATCGGCATATATTTGAAACCTCATTTTTACGAAAAATGAAAATAACTTCGAAATCCCACCACAGATTTTTCTCTAACTTCAGCAAATAAGCCTCAGAGTTCCCTAGTTTAATGTCTGCAAGTTTGAAGGCAATCTTGACCGTAGAAATCGCTCCATAAAATGTTGGTCAAATTTAATGCTAAAATGATAGGCTAACACATTTGTGAACGTAAACGCACAAATAGCGAAAGAGAGCTGACAAACTACCTCTTAACTGAAACGTTGTTCTTACCCAAAGCATTGTTGGAAGAAAATGAGTAATCGGACAAATACGGCGAACACAGTTAGCGCTTTTATACAACCACCTTTCCACTACATGCGCGTTGAAATTAAAAATATTCTATTTATCCAACTTACTCTGCATTTGTCCGTTCATTTTCGACAAAAATATTAAGAAAACGAAAGACAGCATCTGCAGAAACCGCTTGGCAGTTTTTAGCTTCAAAGGTCCTAGTTCTGAGGTGAAATAAGCCGGCTAGTTCGAGAACACCTAGTCATCCAATTTTCGACTGCAATGAAAACCCTCTCGCACGATAATATATTCAAGATCTCTGACTTTCCTATCACATGCTCACGAGCAGTATTCCACTTGGGGATAATAGTTATTATTTACATATGGAAATCTATTTACTATCCAATTTATGGCATAATTTGCCCTTGTTTTGTTAGGGGCCTTATAATTAGCCTTTTCCTTGTCATTAAAAAAACCTTTTTCGCTCCTATTAGTCCTATAACAATGTGTATAAAACATAATTAGACATTTTTTTTATTTTTTTTTTACATGTTCTTCGTAGACAAATTATTTAAAAGTCAAAGTATAGAGGCGTCCCATTTTTCGTAAAAATGAGGTTTCAAATATATGCCGATATCTCAAAAGTTTTTGAACGTATAAGAAAATAAATAACATTTATTTAAAGTTCCATCATCATTTATTAAGGATGCAAAAAATCGTCGAAATCGGTTGAATCTTCCATTCTGAAAAACGCGAATCAAAAACATAACCAACACGCATGTAAATAGGAACGGGCCACATTAATACTTGTTTGGAATCTTGTACAAAGCCCCTAGAGCAGGATTGGATAGGCGCTATACGAATTTTAATTATTATTATTATTATTATTTTTAAAATAGTGGCTAATTTACGTATATGAATAAGTCATTGTGCGGCACCCTTCAAGCATGAATGCACTATGAAAGCGGCGTAATAATAGAGAAAACGGACTTGTTATTTTGGAACATAAAAAGATGATTTCTTTAATACTATAGAGTGGATTCTTAAAGTTGAAGGAGTAATCTATCATTCTAGATAAATTATAATTGAAATAAACGAGAATTAGGTGCAGACTTTTGAAATTGAAAATCAAGCTTTTATGGACAACGACCCTTGTCAAAGTTAGACATCGATTTTCTTCCAAAATAAGCACAAATCTTATGACAATGATGTGTTTATTACTTCAGCTGTTTCTAACATCTCCCAAAATTATAATTAGTACAGTCTAGAACTAGAACAGCTCCTTACAGACTTAAAGGGACGCGGTCAACTATGGGACCGCGCTGGCCTTGACACTACTTTTGCCAGTTTGAAAAGCGTTTACCTCAACCCGAAATCAAATCTACGCGTCCAATACACCTAGAAATCCGCTTCAATCCTACCTAGTGTTTCATTCGATCCTCGAAATTTTACTGAAAATCTCTTTTTGAGCAAACATTTACTCATCCTATTACGTTATTTTATCATATTTGGTTAACAACAGTATTCAAAGGAACATGAACAGAAGAGGTGAGAAACGCGTAGGCGCCGGGCGGGAGAAATCGCCTTCGTTTACCAAAATAACAAGAGAAATGAATCAGTAACATATGGAAAAGGTTACAATATTTGGAAAATCAAGCGTTCTCGACCGTGAACCTTCCACACAGTACAGTCACTCAGACTTCGTGCAATTTCTCACCTCTACTGATGTTCGAATTCGGAAGTATTCGTCGATGTTTGGCTTCCCTGGAAAAATCCATCGGTGAATTTTCAATGGTATATAAAAAATGAGTGCCCTGATGTGGCTTGTGGCCTATAATCACGATTAGTTCAACTCTACAAGGTTTGTTAAAGAGTATTCCGGATACGCTTGTGTTTCAAGCGCGTCTCGTGACATGCAAATCAGCTAAGAAATGGTATTTATGCGCATGTGCATCAGCTGACTGTGTCCCCTTAAGTATTGCTAAAATTTGCCTCGTAAATTACTTTGTTAACTGCTGATGGTTATCGTACCGTCAAAAAACCTGCAAAAAAAAGAACAGATTTGAAAACTATCAAAGATTGCGTAAAACGTATGCCGTGAAGGTCATTTACACAAATTAAAATCATTTCGATATATAATAGTTGACTCTACAGCTGCCCCCGCTCTGTATAGTCAGTCAATAGAATTCTTGCTCGTTGTGTAGCTCTTTGAAATATACCGATTCATAATGAAGATTTTCACACATATTCCATACAATAGGTGAAATAAATACAGGAAACGCAAGATTCCATGCACATTTTCAGTCATAATCACACAGTAGCCTGCGAAAACATCCGTTTCTCCTCGCTCTTCGTAGCTGGGTACGTTTCGTAAGGAGGAACGTCTGCGACTGAGTGGCAAAAATTCCATACTGATGACGCAAATCAATGTTTACATAATAAATCCGGTAGTCATGGGGTTCCAAATATAAATTTGTCCAATTTTGTCTCCTCTGGTCGATTTTGGTGGTGTTATGTTCATCTGCCAAAGAGCTCCAGCAAAACAAAAAAATAGGGACTCAAATGTCTACGACGGCGAGCGGAAGTTCTTCTAGGACGGAGACGTCAAAACGACTATATTCCACAAATATTGAAAAGCGAAAATTGACTGGTTTCTTTCTCCTCCTAAACAGCTTCGAAAGTTCGTGTCTGCAAATAAGCCTCAGTGGAAATGATCTCAAAGTTTTCTGTTTGAGCAAAAGTTTGTTGAAGGTAGATGTAATTATGATTTTTCAGATCAAACATGGAGTGGACGGAGGAACATGACAACTGCTTGTGCCAAGAAATTTTAGTACTTGAACCCTTTAAGTACAAGAAAGGAAGCATTTCTAGTCAGATCTAGAAAAAAATTGCAAACAATCTGAACGGCCTTGAGATTCTTCACATTCACAATTGCATATTTGCGCGAAAAAATGTGCTTGTTCAAAAGTGGAAAGAGGAAGAATTGCAGCTGCAAAAGCAGAGAGTTGAAGTTGAGGGTAAACAAGATCAGTTTATGATGAAAATCTTGAAACCTCTGTTCATTTTGTTGTGAATGCTCTTTAAATGGTTTATATTTAGATTTGACATTTTCGGCACATGTTGCAGATATTTTTGATCAGTTTATTTATAGTAACTCACTCTGCTTAATTACAATTCAAATTTGTCTTTTTGAAAAGGTTTATGTTTTACAGATGAATAGATGTAAATGTTCAAGTCTGTCAAGACTGTCGTACCTGAATCGTGTTAAATGATTATTTTAGTTTGGTGTAAACCAAAACAATGTAATTGTGCTATAAATTGTCTGTCGACCAACCAGCACTTCCCGGATTTCGGACAGATTTTAATTTTTCGCGCCATACGACGGCGACCTCCCCCATTCCCCCAGCTCACGGCCGCCGTCATCAGTATGGAATTTCTGTCACTGAGTCGCAGACGTTCCTCCGCGCGAAACGTCCCCAACGGCGAAGAGCGAGGAGAAACGGATGTTTTCGCAGGCTAATCACACAGCTTTGATGAAAACATTCTCAGTTTCGAAAATAGTTTATTCTAAACCTTAGCTCATTTTATTTGCCGGAAAGTAAGCCTTAGAAATTATGAAAGGAATTTTACGCTCGCGCATTCTAGTCTTATTTTAAACTTTATAGCGCAAGGACATCTGTGATCAAGAATTTTATTGTCGGCGAATTTCTGTAATCATCCATGCATCGTTCTGCTAGTGATAAGCTAGCCGTTGTTCACTCGCCTTGCTTTTTTGGGACTGAGTCTTATTCCGGTCAAAGAGAGAGAAAGAGTGTCTGGCAAGGTTTCCAATCAAAGATTTGTGAACTCGTGCCTGGCAAACTCTCCAAGTGTTTACATATATACACAGTTATACACACCTTATAACTTCATCTGCGCTTAACGAGTGTCTTTTGGTCCATAACTTTCAAAACAACTGCTCCACAGAATGTCACTTTTAACACGTAACGCAAAAGAGTATCGAAGTGTGACTGCACAATAAAGGTCACAAAATCTACCTATTGTAAGCGGTTTCTTCGGGATTTTCTGTCTTAACTTCATCCTAACCATTTCGTACTTGCGGGCACAAACAATAGAAACGTCATCATTGCCTACCGATTCCTCGCGGCCCCTGTTCAAGGAAATCGAGATTTTTTCTGGCACACTGACTGTGTATTTCAACTGTAAGTACTTTCCTTAATATACGCGCGATTTGCTAGGGTGCCTCCTCGGGATTTCGCCTTCTGGGCGAAATCCTTGCCGGGGCAATAAATCAGGAGAGGGGTTTATACTTTAACCGCAAAGAAGAGTACGAAACTCTATCATCGCAAGGAAGGACTTCGACTAAGATATCCAACCGACCACAGGGGCTAGTGACAGAGACCCTTCCCCCGAAATCAGGGATGACAGAGTGGAGCGTTTTCGATTTCGCTCGGTTTTGCGCGGTTTAAGCTCTTATTTCTCTTTCTTTTTTTCCATGTCTAAGACTGACGTCACAGCGGCCATATTCGTGTTCCAAAACAATAAAAACGGCGGCCATTTTGATTTACCAATTCATCTTTTGCTTATTTTTAACACCAATAAAAATCTGAAGCTGTTTTTCAAGAGGGTGATAAAACTCTGTAGCTTCGTAGAAGCCTTTGAGGAAACAGTCCTTGAAGAAATTAAAAGCTATGGTAATCAAACGGATTATCTTTTGTTAACTTGTTTACGGAATTGATTTCCTTTGTTCTCTATGAATTAGTTGCTCTTCAACAAGGAGAAAACTCAGCACAGAAAAAGAACCATGCCGTTCGAACATGTTTAATAATTGCCAAATCACAGTGTATCCATCACTTCTTACCTTAGTTATGATTATGGACTGAGTAGCTTAAAACAGTTTCTTACGGAAAGCCAAATCGGCTGTAAACACACTTGAACGGAAACACGGATAACGACCTCTTTTCACGATATCCAGAGGGTACCACTACCTTGTTATGGAAGAACATTTTGTACCCAATGTTCCTGGTCAAACATGCAAGAGAAAAATTCAAAGCTCCATCGTTATCAACAGGAATCCGAGTTGAAAAGAAAAAACAACAACAACAACAACAATTGTATTCCTCTCTCAACTAGACTTATTTTTACTAGAGAAAAACCGCCACTTTGTCACCTGCACATTGTATCAATGAAAGCAAGTAAACGTTTAGAAAAATATAAACTTGGATTTCTGAAAGGCGAAAACCTCAGTGTTCTTTTGTACTTGTTTTCAAGGTTTTTTTAACTATCATGTCCATCTATCATATCGTCAGTCCGTTCCCTCCTACTTAAAAATACGTCGTTCACTGTATTTAGCAAAACCAACCAGGCTTACCAAGCAGTTTTCAGATGATACTGTGAACTAAGAGTCATTTCGACAAAACTTTAGCTGTAATTTTCAAGTGTGGCTACTGAATTTAGATTCTAAAATAATAATTTCACGTATAATTACCCATCTAAAATTAAGCTGTAATAAATAGACCCCAGGCTCACCAACAACTCCGTGGAAACCAAGCTTTTATATACGCATCAGGCCTTGAGCCTACCAGAGAAACATGGAAAGACCAGGCTAACAAGGCATTACTGGTTAAGACTTTACAGCCAAGGTTGAGGCTCGCCCATCCGTACCACAAAAGACTGGTAAAAACAGACTAGGCTTAAAAGGGTTGACCTGGCCGAGCAGGCTCCTGACAGCACTTTTGAAGCATTTAAGAGATCCAAAATATATCTAACAAAATAATATTGATTTTTGATACCTGATACATTTAACAGCGCTGAAATGACGCGAGGACTTACTGCTCACTAATTACCAGATCATTTTAATGATACGTATTTCAGAGTTTACTTTTACCTCCGAACTGTTCCGCAGCCTTTCAGTGGAGCCTTTATAATAACACTCTTCTTGGTCACATAACTCACACCACAGCTGGGATCGTTAAGATGAAGAAGACTAACATCAGCTCCCGAGGGCAAACTGTCACGTGCTATGTGAGCCACCATGTAAGAGGGGAAGCATGAAATAGTAAAGGCAAACCTGGGTCCTATGAGTCAGAGTAATAAAAAGGAAAAAGTCACGAATCTGAGACTACAGGCACTATTTATATCTAAAAATATTCTGGAAGAGTAAAATGCTATATTTTTGCTGAAACTGGGTATCTGTGGGATCAAAATTCAAAATGGCAGATCTATGACGTCATGTGACATCAGAACCCTCGGGGTAAGGTAAGTCAACTTTATTTATACACGGTATTTCCTTCAGGTACATTTTCATTTAAGTATAGAAAACTAACTACCAAACTAAACTAGAACCCAAGATAAAAACTAGGAGTAATCGGAGCTTAGGGGAGTGCGTTCGATATGTTTGTTAGGCATACAGGTAGCAAGCAGTTGAGGCGGAAGGGTAGTTGCGATATAGATAAATGTGATTATGACATCACGTCATCTCGGTAGATTTACTTTCTGGCACAACGGCCGCCGGCTACACAACTCGGTGGATTTACTTTGTGATACAACGGCCGGCGAGCAACACAACTCGGTAAATTTACTTTGTGGCACAATGGCCACCGAACTAAACCCGGTTTGATGCATGCACCAGGAGTCGCAGACATTTTCCAAAGACAGTGACGAACCATGCTGAAAAATATATGAAGGCTTAAACCAAAGTAAAATTTAACAGCAAACTTCTGAAAGATGAACGCTTTGGACGATTCAGCAAACACAGATCGATGTACGCTTTACGAAGATTCAGCAAACTTTTTAAAAGATAAACGCTTTACGAAGACAGAATATCAGACCTCAGCAAACCTTTGAAAGCTGAACGCCGAGGAAACAAGAATCACCACATGAGTTAGCGCGTCAAAGTGAGGCAAAACTTAAGCAAGCGCCTCAAAGCGAGGCAAATGTGTGTCGACGACGATGACGAAAAGGCAATCTCAAAAAACCTCCCTTATCAATTGCACAGGACACCCAATAATGCACAGAACACCCAACACAAATTAGGGGTTGCGTTCTCGTACCTCGAACGCAATTAAACAAGAAAGATGATAAGAAAAAACCTGCTATACAAGGAGGACGTGTGTAAAAATTGCGTATCGCTAATTTGAGTAATTTCGCAATCGAAATGAAGGTTTTTTAATGTTGGTTTAAAAACATTAGGGGATGTTAATTGCCGAACCTCCAGAGGCAAGCTGTTCCGCAACACACTTCCGCTATATATTACAAAGGCTCTTTTATAAAACTCAGTGCAGGTTTGAGGCATGCATTCATTCTCTCTTAGGCTATAAGTAGTTAAATCGCAGTGACGAACATTAACGTATTACGTTCGGTTGATGTAACAGTTGATCGTTAACGTAACATTGTTAGCCTAAGCAACAGATGGTCCTTTACATCGGCGACATTTTTTGCTGCCTTCGCTCCCACTTTTGCTTAAAATGCCTAAGGGAGATAATATGCCCGGGGAGGGGGGGGGAAGGTTAATTTTTGCTGGGTATGTGCCGCTGGCCTCTCAGAGCCCCTACCCCATTATAGTCTATTCTGTGGCCAATTATAGACCCCATCTTAGTCACTTTTGGGAAAATATGTAATTTTCGCGATCCCAACTTAGTCACTTTCTAATTTTACGAAATTACTCATTTTTTAGATTGAATGAAGAACACTTTACTTTTCATCTACAGCACAAACATTCTGGTATGTTTGCTAACCGTAAATATGAAGAACTTTCTTACCCCCAAAAATCCGAAAATGTGCGACCTCATACTAGTAACTGCATTAAAAATGCGACCCCATTATAGTCAGTCCAGTCGTGAAATAGACTACGAGCAGTCTCTCTTTTTTTTCTTGGTCCGTCGAGCAAAACGCCCTCGTTTCTCGCGTCTCGCAGCTTCGCTGCTCAACGCTCGCGCGCGTGGACTCCCCTTGCTAAATCTGAAGAAAAAGAGAGACTGCTCGCAGTGTAGTCGTGAAAATGCGACCCCATCCAACGGCACATCCCAGTTAGCCTCTTATAAGGAAGTACCCGGCGCCCCCCGGGATAATATGTGCTCTAAAACACTGGGCATTGTTGTCCTTTTCGCTTGATTGATGATTTGTGTAAATTACTTACTCGTTGTTGAAGGCCGAGGAGGATGCATTGCTGAAAAAATACGAGAAAGTAAAACTGAATTAAAATTTGGTTTCAAAACAATAAACCTATAGTAATAAACACAAACGTCAGTGTTATCAGCACAGGATTTTATTCGCAGGGCTTTCGTGCGTGACTACGGCTAATTGTTAATTTGTGTAAATTACTTACTCGTTGTTGAAGGCCGAGGAGGATGCATTGCTGAAAAAATACGAGAAAGTAAAACTGAATTGAAAGTTGGTTTCAAAACAATAAACCTATTGTAATAAAAACAAACGTCAGTGTTATCAGCACAGGATTTTATCCGCAGGGCTTTCGGGCGTGACTACCGCTAAAGGTCCTTAACGCGAGCCCCAACCCTTAAATGACCTTAAGTCTACCGTAAGCTTCAGCATTATTTTCCTTTTCGCTTGATTGTTAATTTGTGTAATCAAATGGTGACGAGAAAGAAATTAAAATTTGGTTTCAAAACAATAAACCTATTGTAATAAACACAAACGTCAATAATTTCCTTAATTTCACGAGTGTACAATTTCACGATTTGATTACCTATTAATATCATGGGTGACGAACTACGTTAGCAATCTTGAATTTTTGACATGTTTAGCCTGGATCGTATCGATCGAGAACTCCATTCTCTCAAATGTTTAGACCTTAAATTTGGCTTAAGTTCAGAATTTTCAAAATTTTCTAACAAAATACCTGTTAGAATCCTTCTTAATGCTCTCTTTTGTGTGTTCAGGTTTTCTAAGGCGTCTTTTTGTGCCCTAACATCTTCATTCACGGCATTTAAAAACTCCGTCGCCATCTTGACACTGAGACGTACGGAAGGTTGCCATGTCAATTTTGTAATTTCACATGTGAAATTACAAATTAACGCTGAAATTTCGCGCCAAAATTACGGAGTAATTCGTCACCTATGATAAGGTACTTAACGCGAGCCCCAACCCTCATAAATTTACCGTAAACTGCAGCATTGTTTTCCTTTTCGAATGATTGTTAATTTGTGAAGCTTACTTACTCGTTGTCGAAGGCGGAGGAGGATGTATTGCTGAAAAAAATACGAGAAAGTAAAACTGAATTAAAATTTGGTTTCAATAAAATAAACCTATTGTAATAAACACAAACGTCAGTCTTCTTAGCACAGGATTTTATTTGCAGGGCTTTCGGGCGTGACTACCGCTAAAGGTCCTTAACTCGAGCCCCAACCCTTAAATCTACCGTAAACTTCCTATTTTTAAGCCCCTACCTATAAGCTCCCCCATTTATAAGGCCCAGCTGCTAGCTCTAAACAAAAAATCCATCCTGTTATAAGCCCTGTTATAAATTGGCAAATTGGTGGCGAATTTACTCTCTTTGGATAAATTATTGGCGTTTGTGATAAAAGATAAACATACTTTATTTTTTTACAAATAATTATTTAAGCTTAGATTTTGGCATTTAAAATGATGTTTCCTGTCATAATTTTTTATTGAAGTGAGATGGACAGTCATTCCAGACGTGAAGTGTTAAATATTTCATATGCAATTGCATGATTTTTTTTCTTAAACCCGTCACCAATTTGTCAATTATTTAGGATTTTAAGAAAAATGGTCACTTGACATAGCACGTGACTTACCAACACAATATTTGTACTTTAAATTGTTAATGACCCTGAGTTCTTTATGTTTACCAAATTTTAATTAATTCCTTCCGCTTTGCCGAAGATTTAGCCAATACCAATCATTTTCCACAGGTAGACCCATCTAGGCTGTTCACAGTCCTAGTTTTTCTGTAAGATCGTCGAAATCGAGCGCTTTGCGTTACGGGCTGCCATCTTGCATGAGTGTCAAAACTACTTAATAGGGTAATCCCGACGCCCGCCCCCTTGGTACATTTGAAAATCAAGATGGCCGCCATTAACGGTAAGATCAGACGCGCTATATCTCGGCGATCTCACGAAAAAGATAGGGGACTGTGAACAGTCTAAAACCCATCAGACCCAGGCCTACTACTTAATCACACGTCCCTTGTTACTCGCACAACACTTAGGGAAATATATACAAGAGAGTCATCAGTCTGACATTTAAAAATCTTAATTCCATATAACTGCACTGTGTTGAGATAGTACATGCAATTGTCATGTGTGCTTCTGGATCTGATTTTAATTTTGCCTAAGAGCTAGTAAGGAATAATCCTCTCCATTTTTTTTTGTTCCTTTACAAATTTGTGTTCTATAGCCAATGTAAGAAAAGTAAATGTTAGTGGGGCCCGGCATCCGTTCTTTCTCATGTTGTCTCCGTCGCTGCCATTTCTCATCAAACTTTATCTTTTTCAGCATTTCGTTCCATTTCTAGGGAAAGTTCTCTCGATGATCGAGTTTTATATTTTTGAGGCAAACTTAACAAGTTAAAACAAATGATTATCCTTGCCGTTGGCAGGTGTGGCCGGTTTTTTATTCTACTAACATAACACTTCAATCTTCGAAAAGAAGGATAATGGATGGTAAAAACAAACGCAGTCAGTATTGCGCGAAATTGACGGTTTTTACACCCGGCTGATAGAAACTTCTCTGACAGTGAAAGAACCTGAGCAGATAAACTGTAAGAAATGCAGATAAGAAATGAAATAAAGATGATGTAACGTTGAAATTGCCATTATTTTCTGGTGACTGCGGATAGAATTTTCACTGTTGCTGTCTTGGTTGGTCTCATCGTCAAGCTCAGTCCCTGAGCTACCTTGCCATGGGGTGGGAAGGGGCCTCCATGTCAACCCCTATACTAGAAGGGGAGGGTGTTGGAAAAGCGTGGTATGATCCGTTAGTCTCTGTGGAGACTCAGTTCATTGATCATCTGTCAGCCGTCAGTTTGTCATGCCAAATTCTTTAAATGTTTCAGGCCGATTGGCCAGTGAAAGGATTCCCCCCACCCACGTGCTCGGCTGCGAGGCCGTGTCAGGTCTGGGGGGTGACGTGGCCTTGAATGCTCTGCTTAGGGCTAGCTTAAGTCTTAAGCTGCCTCTGTCGAGTAGAGCCGGCTTAAAGCAGCTAGAGATGGCCAGGTTGAGAATATCTTTTTGATGGAGATGAATTCAATATTTCTTTACTAGCCAGGAACCAAGAGTAGAGTCACCTTAAAAGGCTAATGGGTAAGAGCTGAGATTCTTTACAATATTTACTTTATTTAAGTCAAGTTAAGCTGTGTGGCCTAGAGTTTCCAGCTGGTGCCGCCAGAAGATGTCACTGAATGGTGACGGGAGAGCAGAAATGAGGCGAAACTGGGTCCGGAGGTGGCCTCCTTCTTCGAAAACACAGGATTTCTGGCCAACATTGTTTGCAAAGAATTCTAGTAATCTTTCAAAATGTGCTATTTTCAAGTGGAAAACGACGTCTTTTCAGGACATTTGTCATCAAAGAAAGCTGCTTAATTCCCAGAATATCCTAGCCGGATTTTTTAAAACGTTACCGTGAAATGGACCTTTTGCGTCCAACAGTTTTTTCAAAGTAGCAATTATAAAAACTAAGAGCGCAACCGTGATTGTTTTTTCTCTTCTCCTCCTTTCTTCCTCCTCGCTCTTGCTTTTTCTCCTTTCCTTTTCCTTCGTTAGTGTGATTTTTGAGCTTATAAGGCCCAAAAAAACTGCCTTTTGAAGCCTTTTTACTCAATGACTGCAAATTTCGTTAGGTTGGTTCTCAAAAAATAGGCTAGATATATCTATCTGAGTTCCTTAAAACGTGGCCACTAGGTTTTCGCTTGGTTCCGGGCGCAGCCCGGCTCTGGGCCACTGCGGTCTCCAAAAAGGTAGAGGGCTTGGCGTCTTTGACGGCACGGGTGGACCCAGGGACTGCCCTAAAGGTGGATGGGTGGCTCAGGATTGGGGGCAAAACTAGAGGGGTAGGGAGGGGGCTATTTTGACACATTCCCTTGTAAAGATCAGTGTTTGCTAGAGGCTTTGACTGGCATCTTGTGTTTAGTTTGCCCGAGCCAGCTGAATCAGGCGTCTGCTGCGTCTCCAGGGGGGATCGGAGGCGCAGGCAGTAACCCAGTGTCCCTGGTAGGCGGGGTGAAATTCTTGGTACTTAGCAGAGGACCTGTAGACACTCATTGAAGCCATGTTCACATAAATTCAGTCAGATATAATGTAACGTTCAAATTACACGTAAAATCTTTATCATCATTACCGTAATCTTCATCGTCATCGTATTATTATTATTATTTTAGTGTACCAACTCTCAGGAGTTCATACTGTCTAGAATAGACCAATCTTATGCATGAAAGTGAAAAGAAATATCCAAGTTCTTTTGCCAAAGAGGTAGGGAAACCTGTTCGCTTTTTTTCTTGAATAAAATACACCGTTACTTTTTTTCCTCTCATAGCACTTTGAAATGTATATACTATTAGTTTGCAAAAATTAAAAGTATATAATCTATTTTAAAACGTTTTTCCTTTTAGCAAATCGCCAATAAACGGTTAACTGATGTGCATTTTTTTCTTCAGTTGATTTGGAACTCTTTTTTATGAACTTGATAAAAAAAATAAATGATATTTTGATAACTCTTTGTGAACTGGATATTAAATTCCGTTATTTCCGTGCAATTTGAGGTGGAATTTATATTATGAGTCAGGTTGTAAGTTCCCCTTTAGTATCCCTATCACGTTTGTTTGTTTGTCAGCTTTGTTGAAAATAAACTAATGGTAACTACTGGATTGACTTGGAGCTTGACATACTTGTATTAAGGAGCTGTGTATCAACTCTAATATTCCGCCCCAATATGCCATCTTTGATAGCATCTTCCAAAGGCTTCAAGGGGTCGCTGATGTTTCTTTCAAATCGTAATCGAACAACAGCAATGGTACTTCCTTCTCTGAAAATATAATATATCTTAGGGCCCATTTACATGGGGGTGGGTGACCCCAGGTGGGTGAGGGACAGTTCGGGTGGGGACAAAAATAAAATTGCCATCCCTTGGTGCCCTTTCTGAAGAGTATTGAATGCTTCCAGAGCACTTAAAGAAAAACAAAAATGGTATGCAAACGCCTTGTTTTGGCGGTTAATGCTCTCCTATTACCCCTCCCCTTAACCCCCCCCCCCCCCCACCCCCCCCACCCTCTAAACAGCCTCTTCACACCTTTCATGTAAACGTGATGAGACATTATTATCGCGAAGTGTCAGATATTTTCTTAACCTACTTTATATCATGAACTTGCCCAGAAGCTGGCAAATGAAGACGAGAACTTAGCATCCATTCTCAGGCGTCCGAGGTCGTCCGCGGTCGACAGGGAGAGGAGCGAAAGGGACCGCGAACGACCTTGGACGTCTGAGAATCAGGCTAGGTTTAAGCATGTTTTAACTTGTTATTGGCATAGATAAGGCTTTCGTATGATCTGCGAAATTGTGCAGATCTCCCCTTTATCTCATCATTATCATACTAATGTCCATCCAGTAATTCCTAAATAAACGTCCATTTTTAACAAGGTTATGACCCGACTGTGATTAGTATATAACGGATGTAATTAACAACTTAACGATGAGTTTCAATTCTTTACCAATGCCCTCCAGCTATCGTTTATTCGGATACAGTTTTCTTCTGTTTTTTTTTTTTTCTTTCTTTTCTTTTAACAATTACACGATTGCATGTCAACGATAAACTGCTACATATGTCATATATACCTGAATTCCACAATAGTTATACCATATAGCTGCTTTTCGGTATTTTGAGATTGGGTGTAGATTTTTGCAATCTGTTAAAGAAACAGGTGAAATTCCTTCAATACATTTGATAGCAGACTGATTAAAGACAGACACCCAGTTGAAGCCAGAGATGTAATAAAACCCTTACATGTAAATCCTGGAAGTTCACAGTATTACTCAAGTAGATATGTGCAGTTTTCCAGTTCTAAGTGTCGTTAATTAGCCGGGGTTTTTGAGTATTTTGTTTTTGTGTGGGTTTCCCATCATTTCAGCTTGTAAGTAACCTGAAGAGCGAGGAATTATTCAGCCATTGCTTAATTCTGTATTTCTCGGTTATGGAGCAAAAGAAAATGGAAAGTACAGACGATAAAAGGGTAATTGACTTACTTCTAATGCGACAGCTGATTTCAAGGTTTTATATTCAATTGCATTGGAGTTGTTAAACGCTTGTCTCCATCTGACGCTTGTTATTCTAATTCCAAATTCATGATCCTCACACTGGTTTTCTGGACCTGTCAAACGTAGACATAAATAGAGATAAATAATTATATATACTTAAAAAATTAGAAGCAAGCTATGAGAATTCCTTTGCCAGCAACAAAATACCTCAATTGAATATGTTAAACCTCCGACGTACAAGGGTATAAGGGTTTTCTGAGTTTTTTCCTAGAGGATAAACTATCAGTAACTGACGTTTTCAGTAGTTGTTCATTCATCTCTCGCGCACATTTTGAGACAAGTTTAGTGATGGTCAGTTGCTATGGTTACGAGATATGACGTCATAAGTAGCATGTGGTCAAGCCATTTTTCGGTGAAAATATACGTTTTTTCTACTTCTTTCAACATTAAAAGTAAACCCTACGGCTAAAAACATGCAGAATGCTTATTTATGTGTTATTTTTCATGTAAAGCACAAAAAATTTTCATTTCTCGCGGTTTTAACCTGATTTCTAATTCTTGGTAAAATCCAAGATGGCGGCCAAAATGGCAACCATTTTTGGTGACGTCATAGGCCTCCAGCAGCGCCAGCACCCCTAAAATACACCTCATCTTGTTAAGACCATCAAAGGCTTTCCACTAAAGGTAAAATCGTTCCAAAATACTGCAACATATCAAAAACTCCGGGGAGGGGTTCCATAGTTTGCGTGTAAGTCCAAGGGTTCATTCTTTAAATATAAACCTGTCTGTGATACTATAAACTGATAACAGCCCCCAAAGTATCTTTCTGCAGGCAACTGCAGGGCATTTCAAAAAAGGAATTCCAAGACAGCCTTAGATTCGACGATTCCCGATTCTAGGTACTGGATTTCGGATTCTTTGTCATTGGAAGTTGGATTCCGGATTCCAATCGTTGGCGGGATTCCTGTTTCCTTTAGCTGTCTTCCGGATTCCAAATTGCAGGATTCCTGCATTCTAAGCCAAAAATTCCTGGATTCCCAATTGCACAAGCCAAAATTTCCTGGTGTCTGGAATCGAGAATCCCTTATATGGGACGACAATGAATGCTAAGCTTTGCCAAAAGTTTATAATAACAAAAAAAATGGGCTAATAAATGTCTTTCAGCTATACATTTAGTTCAATGAATCTGTCTCACATGAAAAGATAGAATAGTTTCTGATCCACACTGAACTGAATAACGTGACTCGTCAGTTTTTTTAAGACCCAGTTTTGCCACACTCATCAATGACGGAGGCAAATGTCGTGGTTAGGGCAAACTTAATTTATCGCAGTTCCAAACTACTACATTCAATACATTTTAGCCTATCACGATAATTGTTCACAAGAAAATAACAACGCAACTGTACCTTTTGATAGAATCTTGAGCGAATCGATAGCATGAAAGAACAGTACTTATTACTTCAATTGCATTGCTTACTTTTAATGTTAAAAACTGAAATTAAAAATTACTTACATGCTATGTTAACCAGGGAAGGGCGAGAGGCCTCTCCGACTTTATTTTTTGCTGTGCATTTGTAAGATCCAAAATCCTCCCTCGTTACGTTAACGAGACGCAGAACTGGGCCAGTGACATTAAAGAGCCTCAGCGTTTGGCCCTCTTTGTTCCATGTGACTTCTGGGAGTGGGTCGCCAGATGCACTGCACGTCAGCATCAAATTTTCTCCAACGCTGACTTTAGACTCTCTCTCTGGCTCCGTTGTAATTCTTGGAGGCACTGACGAAAATAAAAAACGCAGATATAACAACTGGCTTTCTTTCATGATTTCTGGCGTTATTAGAAAATTAAGCTGGAAATGATTACGTCAGCCACAGGAGCCATCAAGCTGCTTTTAATTAATAAGCGAATCTTTGCTGACGTCATTGCCGTACCATTTTCCTCGTTAGCATACGACTTAACCAGGCTCCTGACTTAACTCAGTTGGAAGCCGTGGTCGTATAAAAGGCAAAAGTTGAAAGAGCTGATTAAGTTGAGCAATTTGTGCAATTTTCAGCTCTTTGCAAGCAATATTGAAGGAAATATCAGCCATCAAAAACTTTGAAATTGCTGGGTGGCAAAAAAGTTAATGAGCCATACATTCTCTGTAAAATTTCGAGTTTTTAGACGAGAATTTCTCCGAAACCATTCGGTGTATTGGGCTCAAATTTTCAGGGATAACTGCAAACTGTTATGCCCTGTCAATATTCAGAGTTTTTATTTTATTAGCTTCATCAGACAGTGATAAGCATATGTTAATGAGGCAAAAAATGTAAACAAAGATTCGCCTATTGCAGGTTACCCAGGTACAGAAGTCTTCAAATAGAAGTATCCTTTATTTTTAAACCCTGCAGAACATCCAGTTCAAATTCAGTTAAAACATGTAAAAGGAAACAGTGGGGGGAGCTGTAAATAATAATTCGAAAAGTCAGTCATGGTTAGATTTTAAATTCGACCGTCCTAAAAACGAAATTTTATTATGTAATATTTTCTCCAAAATTAGAATGATGTGGTTTTGGTCCTTCTTAGACTTCTTACCTGCAAATTCATCCAGGACATACATACATACGTACAAACATCACCTTTATTTATCCTCAGATTTACAGTGTAGCTCTTAAAGCTAATATGTCCGAGACAGAAGAAAATAAAGAATTTATTAAAGTAAAAATAATAATAATAATACAGGGAGACCTCTATTAAGCGGACACCTTTAGGGACCTTCCCAAGTGTCCGCTTGATAGAGAGTGTATGATTAACAGAGGTTTGTAAGAATTGCGCAATGTTTCTTTGTTAACGATTAACATGCAACGGTTACTCTGCACTGTGATAAAGTTCTTTAATGCGGTGAAACTCTATGTAAATATACTATAAGTATATTACTCCGCGAGTAAATGCGGACTAGTATCATTGATATCTTTCCCAGAGGGAGTTAGTGTTGATAGAATAACTTTCTAAAATGGTAGTAATAGAGAATTCAGGTTGGCGATTTATAAGTACAGTTGTAAAACTATAAATACACCTTGCTATTCAGTTTTCCTCAAAAAAAATAAATAATCGTTGTATATATTGTTTTATTAAAAACTGAATCATTGGATAATGCAATTATAGAGCTCTGATTGGCTTAGCCATCATGGTATATATATGAGCCATTATACCATTCTCTCCAAACAAGGTTACTGTACGCGTCTGCTCAAAGCTGAAAATCGGTTGTTTTTACAAATAAAGTCGGAAAGAATTTTCGCTATTTTGTGGGCGTTTTTAATAAAAGAATTATTCCACTTGCGCTTGACGGATATGAGATGATTGTAGCCAACTCATATCTGACGCGCACTCGTGCAATTATTGTCAAATATTTGTTCGTTCATTAGTTGTGTTTGTTATTTTGCACAGCCTTAGGGAGGCTTTTAATGGACTAAGTTTATAGGTTGTTTGCCGGGTCGCCGGAAGGATAAAACGTTGACTACGTTTTTTTTCTTTAATGTCAGTCTATACTGTACAGTCAGAGTCCACAATATAAAGGTAGGAACTGTAAAACCATGTCAAAATTGAAGAGATCAATCGACAACTGATCTCTCGAAGCGCTTTTTTCTGTTATCATGACTGTTTTTGCACGGAGAAACTTCAAATCATATACAGCATTCATATATTGTGTACACGACGAAATATGACACAGCACTCGATATTCAGTCGTGCCGGTGATTCTGTATGCAAATTATTCCATGATTCACCATTCCTATAATTCCTACGCATTTCAGAACTAAATCCTAAACTTTGGAAACAAGTTGCCTAATACATTTTAAAATAATTAGGCGACGGCGACAACTGATTTACCTTTAAGTTGCTTATTTTACGTTTTGCTTGAAATAGCGTGAATACTTCATCTCTACGCGACCAATATAATGTTAATTATCGTTAATCGTTCTCGCAAGGCCCGAAATTTCTTTTTTAAAAATAATCGCTCTACCTAAAATTACTTTTATGGCTGGTTAATTAACGCAACGAACGAACCTTGGCTCTGCTATATAACTGGATGTATAATTTGCTACGTGATTGAAAGTATTTTACTCAAACTAAACTGCATGAGGAAAACGAGTTTTAAAATATTAATTGGTATTTATGTCTGTAGATTGCAGTGTCGTGAAAAATGATGGTGATGCAATAAACTATGAACATACTCAGTATTTTCAAACTTTACCTTTAAGTCAGCTAACCATAACATAAAATGAGGCTTTTGAAACATTAAGGGCACGTGCAGAAATTGTAAAAAAGGCAATTTCGTTAATTTCAAATTAAAGCCGGGCACGCAAGAACGAACTCACGTTCCATTGACTTTGAAGTAACTGATGCGAAGCTTACCGCAACAGTACTTTTGAAAAAGGGACTGTCAAAAATACATAAGCCGCCATTCAAAGACTTTTCACAAGAGGTTTAGAATGACGTAAAGTAAAATTGGGTTCATAAATCTCTCTCACACTCATTAAAGGGAAAGGAGTTTTGAAAGACGCATTAGCCTGAAAATGTTAAAAATAACTGAAAATTAAAACGTAGAAGTAAAGAGATACTTTACTTACCAAACACTATTAATTGTACTTGGTCGCTAAGAATTGGCTCAGGACGGTCATTTCTTAAGAACGATACCACAATAGAATATATGAACTCGTCGTCGTTGGTCACGGGATTTCTCAAAATCAGTGTGGCTGGAAGGCTTGCACTGTAGTTTGAAATAAATTTTGAAAAAACAGTAAACGGTCCTCCTCCGAAATTGCTTGCAATATCTTCCGCTACATCAGCATCATCTCTTCGCCTTTGAAATGTGACTCTTAGAATAAATTCGGATGGCTCAGTAACGTAAGTCCAGACGAGTTTCAGACTCTCCCCAGTGTTGTTTACTCCTTCAACCAGGATTGTTGGTTTCTCAGGCTGTCTGTCCCATCTTATTGCCTCTAAGATAGCCCAAGGAGAAACAATGCATCATTTAGGTATTATTTGGTCGGCAAGGGCTGCAATTCCAAATGAACAGAATTTGCTCACTAGAGACCTTTAGCATCAGGTTTTTCATGGAAAACCGCAAATCGCAAACCACATGTCACGTGACCACGGTCTTCAGGTCGCGTTTGCAGTTTGAACGTTTGAACGGTGGGAAGGGCTTTTCGCGGTAAGTGACTTAAGGCAAGGTTTTTTGCCACTAAAAATTTTACAGTCTCGCGTTTAAAGGCACGAAAAAACTTTTTATGTCCGTCTGCGATGTGTTTGTTGGATTTTTGTTCTCGAATCAATGAATTATTCCTGTTTTTTGGACGATAAAGGTGATGCACTTCCACTTGATAAAAAACAACATGACGGCACTAAACAATGAACGCGCAGTTTAAATCGATTTTATATTCCTTTCTGGCGTACTAACATAAGAAAGTTTTCTGTTCCAGTCCAGAGTTTTCATTTCAATTCATAACTTAACTCAGTCTCTGTTTAGTTGCTATTTTTAACGTATCACTCCACGAATTTCATTTTATCTTACTTATTTCTTCGGATGACTGAGGAGCCCAGGCTTCATAAGCCTTCCGGTTTCTTTTGGGCTCCCTTGCCAACTTACAGTTCCTATATGTATTCTTGTATTGCATTATATTTTGGCTAAATAAAAACGAACTGAACTGAATTGAACGCCTCGCTAATATTTGAAATCCGGGCAACGTGAAACTTCAAACGCGTAACGGGAAACTGCAGTTTGCAGTTTGCGGTTTCCCATAGAAAATCTGATGCTAAAGGTCTCTACTGACTTACCAGATTGCTGCAACTCGCCCCAAGTAAGGGAATCCAGATTCGGGCATCCGGGAAATTTTTGCATGTGGAATCGGGAATCCGGGACCTTGGAATCATGAATGCCACTGACAATTGAAATCCGGAATCCAAGTTTCATTGAAAAAGATCTGGAATCTAGTAATTGGAATCCTGAATCCACGGCGTGGAATTCAGACTCCAAGAATGTCTTGGATTCCCTTACATAAGGCGATGCAACGACACCAAAATCAACATGGTGGCAGAAACCCAGTGAGCAACCCGCTGTCCGTGACTGGTATTCATACTAACTGAAATAACTAGTGGTGATTGAGAAATTCAAGAAAAAAGTCTCTAGTTTAATAGAATGGTACGGAGTTATTCTTCTGTGGAACAATAAGTTGTTTTGTTGATGTCAAGAAACTGGTTATACACCAGGCTCAGGGGTTTGCGCGGAAGACTAGTGAAATATTTCAACAATGATAAGCGCACTAATTTGGTTAGATCGCTAAAAACAAAATTAAACACGCACGCCATTTAGTAGTTTGTAGTTTTCTTAAAGTTTATAGTCGGAATGATTCACTTTAGAAGGCTGGTTTACTAACTTAGAGCAAACGCCACTGAAACGTAGTCAACAGTAGACTGCTTACAGTCCACCTTTTCTCTTAAAATCCGTCTATTTCTTATCTCAGCCAGCGCGATTGCAAACAACGACGTTACGTTACAATAAGGGATTAGGTCCAGACGAGAAAAGACGGACTGCGGACTCTTTTGTAGTAATAAACAAATCCTCCGTCAGCCCAGAAAGGGAGTAACCTATTGGTCAATTTTACAGCTGTTGACTGGTCTGTGGGGGAGATGCAAGCGATAAAAATAGTCACGCGTCACAACCAGCGATAATCGCTTGTAAACTAAAATGTTTAAGGATATCTTACAGAAAGGAAATCAAGGCAATCTTACCGGATTTTTAAAAAAGTAAAAATTTTCACTTGTTTATGTTCTATTTATAAATCGTTTCAAGTTACTCGGTCTTAATTGGTTAATTAAACTACCTTGACAGTTTCGTTGTCCCCAGACAGAACAAAAGAGTCAGCATTCTCTTATTTTTTCTTCTCGGGCTTACGCCCTCCTTTATCGGGGCTCGCGCCTTCGCCGCTGGCGTCATGCTTGGGTTTTTTCGTGCAGTAACTTTGCAAAGAAAAATAAGAGACTGCTCGCAGTCTAAGTCAACAGTTACCGGCACCGTACAAACGACTTCACAGTATTGACGGACTCAAGCAAACCGAACAACGACAGAATGACTGGACAGCCGAGAAATTGACTAACAATAAACGACTGTTTAACTGTGACAATAGACCGATCGAAACGCACCAATGACATTACGAGTCTTCATAGCCAATAACATCACGGCTTAACTGACAGGCGACCAAGAACATGGCGAACTGACACTGAAGTCAATAACCAGAGATTAGTGCCATCAACTGACGTGATACGACTCACTTTGACTCTAAAGATAACTACCGCACAGGTTGTCGAAACGTCAGTCACTGTCAACAACAGTCCTATTGCGTACTGGGTATGCTCAACCTACTTCTAAACAGGTTTTGATTTAATATACCCTTGGGGTTGTGTGTATTGAGTTACAGGTAGGCAGGCAGGTAGACCACTTCTCCCAAAAACTACGGGCTAGAGACAATTTTGCGTGCATGTAGCTGAAACGGATAGTTTGCTTGAATGTGTCACTCTTGTTCTCAGTAATGAAGTGAAAACCAACCAGAGCATTCTTGTCATGCTTCAGTTGTTTCCATTGCGGTAAGCCTTAATGGACATTGCTTTTTTCGAAAGAGATAAAAGCACTCATCTTCGGAAACTTAATCCTTCTACTTAATTGATGACAGCACCATCAATGAATTCTTTTCAGCGCATCTTTCTTCGAAGCGAAAGGAATATGACAAAGTACGTGTTAAAAGAAGCCAACAACACATATTGTATGAAGTGTTATACGTGTTGTAAGAAGCACTTCGTCTCTTCCCTCTTTTCCTAATTTCCTGTTAAAATAAATTATGCACTCTCTGTAACTTTAATGTCTTAAATATAACAGTGTGATATGATTGGACAAAATAAATTTTCCGACACTTTCATTCCTAGGCCGGAACCGAAATCCTAAGAATTTATTTATTGTCTTAGAAAATCCTAGGAATTCCTAGCAATTCTTAGCTTAACTTCGAAAGGGAAGTGACATGTAATGATTGTTTTTGTCTATTAAATCGTCAATTTTTAGTCTTTTCTCGCAAGATGCCCGTATATCTTTAGATCTTTTTAACTTGTCTAGCGCGGTTTTCAGAAACTAGACGAAAAAGGATTTAAGGACAAGACTGCGTGTGGTAATGACCTGTTCGCCCCTGTGTTAAATGGATCAAAATTCGTTTTTCTCTGAATGTCTCAACAGTTATCAAAACACAGTGGAAAGAAGGGCAAAAATAATTAATTATCAACTGCGCACCGCTGTACAGAATGTACATTCCCTAACAATACAAAGCCAGCTTCCTGGTAAATTGATGTTAACAATTTTAATTGCTGTAATTGAACGTTCGCTCGTTAGGCGCAAAGGTCGACTTTAGAAAAGCGTCCTCCGAGCTCCTGTTAAACCCCAGCACTCAATTTCGCGTAACCTGCGAATACAGCCGTTTCTCCTCGCTCCTCGCCGCTAAGAACGTTTCTCCAGGAGGAACGTCTACGACTCAGCGACAGAAAATCAATACTCGGTGATGACGTAAGACCTATCCGGAATCTGGTCGGGAGCTATGATTGGTTGACGTAGTGGTTATATTATTTACCGATATTGTTTACGAATTAAAAAAAACAAAAGGCCACAAAGGTCAAATTTAAACGTGATGAATCTACTTCAAAAACAGTCAATATTCCTAGAATATATTCTTCTTTAGAAAAAGCACTTGAGTTTTGCTGGACCTCGTTCGCAAAAGATCACAAAACTTTACCATAATCGACCAGGAGAAACCTAAAATCAAACAAATTTACATTTGGAACCCCATGACTACCGGATTTGTTAACTAAACATTGATTTACGTCGTCAGTATGGAATTTCTGTCACTGAGTCGCAAACGTTCCTCCTGGCAAGACGTCCCTGGCGTCGAGGAGCTAGGAGAAAAGGCCGCATTCGTGGGTTAAATTTCGCGATAAGCGTGCTCATTAATCGTTTGGGGAAAATGTTTGGTTTCAGGTTTTAGGCTATGGTAGAGAACATTGAGGGTTGTTTATGTCGATTATCGTTTATATATATATAGCACAAAAACAAAGCTGAAATATGAATGCTCAACGTCGCAAGTAAATAGTATAAACAACATTAAATGAACCTTACAAACAAATAATGAAAGGTGTGGCGACAAAATCGCTGCGCTCACGTCATCTGCGAGGTCTAAAGCACAAATCTTTTGGAAATTTGACACCAGTCAGATTGGGTCACGACAAGGCAATGAAAAAAAAGAAGCCAAGAGAACTGAGGAGACTCTATAGTCGGCACTCTTCTTTACAATGTGTTAGCACGTACTAGTCACACTTACCTGAGAGACCAACGGTCATCACGAGTAAAGCCACCACCATAGGTATCAGCTTCGCCATAGTTGTTCTTTAGACGTGGCAGGGATCTACGCAAAATAACCCTTCGATTAGAGCGCCAAATAGGTGCTAAACGAGTTACAGCTGTAACACTGGGTCACGATAGCACGTTATTCCCGTGTAGCACTCTGCACTCTTTGACAGAAAACGATTAAACTCAACGGGCGCACACGCGATGTCAGTGCGCATGACGCGTTCTTTCAGCAGACGCGAATCTCGCAAATATTAGCTTCCTTACTTTTTACTCTTGTGAATATTGTATCTCGCATGTGTTCAGTGAGGCATGTACAGGCATGCTAATTTGCTGTTAAAACGGTTACCTGAGGATCGGTTTCATTGACCGGAAAGATAATGGTATCATTGATATTAACTTTCCCCTATAACGTCTAAACACATTTCTTAATGAACATTTGCAGGTAGAATCAGCATCCTGTTTAATTCTGCAAAGAAGCGTTCGTAAACACTTGAATTCGCGTTATTTTAATGGTCATTCCTCTCGACTGAAATTAAGACAATAGAATTTAACCAAGGAAAAATCGGAAAGAGTTACGAAACATGCTTTTATCCTTTAATATTGGCCCGACTTTTTACAAGCCATGATATTCGGCACGTTTAGTTTGTCTTATGTGATAGCTTCAGAGATAGCAAGCCCAGTGCCAATAGAAATGACGTCATTTGCACCATGGCGTCAGTTTACTACTACGACCAGAATCCTTTACCTTTTTCCTTTCATCTTTAAATTTGGTAATCCCAGCGAGGATTAAATGACAAAACCCCTAAGTTGCACAAGAAAGCTAAACCCTGAAGGACTCTGGTAGTAGTAGTAAAATGGCGTCATCGTGCAAGTGGCCCATTACGGAAAGTTTTCTTTGTCCCTTGGGAAAGAATGCCGTTTAATACGAACACCCCGTTAATATGGACACTTTCTATGGTCCCCTCAGTGTCCGTATTAACGGGGTTTGACTCTCTATCCCGCTTTACGGAGACCTCTTATTACGGACAGTTTGCTTTGTCCCTGAGGAAAGTAAACCCTTACAATTTGTATATCATTATGCATGCCAAGTTCATTTTAAAAACTGTTTATTTCTCGTTTTACTCTTCACCCTTCGCCCTTTTCGTTCCTAATTCCTCGCAATGAAAGCTTTATGAAGGTTATAGATGTATAATTTGACGATGCTATTGTCCTCTTTTTAAAACAAAAGTGAATTTTTCACTTAAATAACATGACCCGCTTAACACGGACACTTTCTATAGCTATATATTTAACAATAATTCTTCGAGCCCGAATGGGCTCTGAGTCAATAGCCCACGAGGCCGAAGGCCGAATGGGCTATTGACTCAGCGGCCATGAGGGCGAGAGGAATAATTGTTTTAGTAAAATCCAACTAGTTGGTCAAAAATATCGAGGCAAAACAACTTAAGCTAGCAAAACGCGATTTAGCCCCCATTGTTTTGGTTTTCAAAGCCGGCGCTTTTCGCTAATAGTGGGCTATAACATATAACCTAGTAGTAGCTCAACCAATCAGAATGCAGCATTGATAATAGACCACTAGTTGGATTTTACTAAATATATATAGCCCCCTCGGTGTCAGTATTCAAGGACTTTGACTTTTTAACAGTACTCTTTTTCAGACCCAGAAGACCGTCGAATGCAACTCCGTAGCTTTGATATCAACGACAAACTTGCCCAATCTTCTTTATCAATATTATATCTCAGGTAATACGAATGGGATAGATTAGATGATCGAACACAAATGAGCTGAATATAAACTGTCAACTCATATAGAATTAGGGTTAATATCTTAGCGACTTTTCGCGCTAGTCCCTTGCAACGCGAGAATAAATAAAAGCTCCGCATCTCATTTCTGCCCAATTCGCGTAAGAATCCATTCGCTCTGTTAACCGATTCTTGTTTTATTAAGAAGGCTGACGAACCTGTCCAACCCTGGCCAATGTTACACAAGCTCCAGCTCTACTTCAAACAGCCCAATTGCCAGTACAGTGCCGATGACTTACTTTCCCTCGCCTGTGTTTTGCTGGCGCTATACTCCCAGTTTGTTTACTGCCCTTCCCTTGGCTCCCCTAAGGTTTTTACACGTTAATGTTTTGCTTTTGTATTATCCAGTAGCGGTGTTATTCGTACTTTCCCTCGCTATCTGCAGTTTGTGCAGTGTTCTTTCCTCGGCCATCCCGTAATTGTTGCACGCTTTAGTTGTTAGTAATTTATGTTTTGCGTGTTTTGCCTCACAAACACCGCGTTTGTGCAGTGCTATTCCTTCGGCTCCCATAAAGTTTGTTGCACGCTTGTGTTGTATTTTGCTTTATTCAGTAATTTTTTGTTTTGCGTGCTTTGCCTCACAAACATCGGGTTTGCGCAGTGCTTTTCCCTCGGCTCCCGTAAAGTCAGTTACACGCTTTTGTTACTCAGGCCACTTAAGGCATGACTATCTAATTAGATATGCATATTTTGATAGAATGCTATTTAGAACGGTTTGCTAGTTCTATCAAGGATCCTGAAAACTGAACTACAAATGAAGCTTAATGGCCTTAGCAATATGAGTGCATTTTAGAAGCTCAATTTTTCGTCATGTGACTGATAATTGAGAATTAACGGTCAAAATATTTACTCTAAAATGGAGAAAAGATAATGAAAGAGCAACAAGTTCTTTTAGAAAAGGTTCTTATAAATTCGCCTTGTATGTGTGTTTACGTTATATAGGAATAGGTAAATAAAGGGAAAAGGGTCACGTGACTTTTTAATTAGTTAAATAGCTAATAGGATAAATAACGTTTCCAATCATACAAGGCGAATTTACGATTTACACTGTTTATGTAACATTTTGGTAGTGACAATTCCTAACATTAAGGTTTGCAACCCTTCCCCGTTTAGGAAAACGTGTTTTGTGACGTCATTGACGATTTAATGTCACCTGTTATTTGAAATCACGTTCCACGTATTTTTTTCCTTGAGACACATTCGTAGTTCACTTTTCAGGAGCACTGGTGGAAGCAAACCGTTCTAAATAGCATGTACTAAAATATGCATATTTAATTAGGTAGTCATGCCTTAAAGTGGCTCGACTGGATTTTTTGGGGTTGATACCTCCCAAGTTTGAGCATTAACTACGTCGGCATGAGTAACGATATGGAAAAAAGGTTACCACAACTGTATTATACAACGATGAAAATTTCTTACGATCTGGGTTTTATTGCAATCGGAGTCGCCATGGCAACGTAATGACGCCATTACGTTTTTCATTTATCTTTGTGTTTCTCTGTACCAGGCGTTTTTTGAAGAAATCGCTTAAGGGAGTATGTACCTGCCATAATTGCCTCCATTATGGCAAAGTTTGAACAAATTCTATGAGAACGTTTTCGAAATATTTTGAAATGTAGTTTTAAGAATCATAAAAACAGTGAAATAGCATGCTAGCCACACAATTCGCTAATATTTTAAGAAAATGATACGCTTTGGGAACGTGGCTTCATCTCATAGTGGTTTGGTTCCATTGAAAACTGCATACAAAAAAAAGAGGGGAATTGCTGTGGGCGATCGCGAGTAAGAAGAATTTTCTTAACTTGCATTCAGCTGCTTTTGATACAGTTTTTGGACGTAATTTGGTCCATGCCTAAAAGTTTCGCATTTTTCCAAAAACCGCTCGATAAATTTTTTTATAAATTCGACAATCCCGAGATCAGTCGTCAACAAATATTCCCTGCAGGTTTTAAGAACATTGAAAACAGGGAAGGCTTTTAAATAGGGCCTCAAATATAACCAATTTCCCCCCCAGATTTTGTGTTTACAAGTGAGCGTCCTCATTATTCACTGGCATTGTTTTCAAGTTTCATATGTACGCGCACAACTAGCAAAGATATAAATTTGCATCAAAAAGAACTCTCGATTACTTTCCGAAGAAATATCCGGAATATGCTAATAATTGGCTTGTCGTCACAGATAGCAGTGAGAGCAGAAACGGTGAACGTCACGGCGCAGCATGTAGAATGGAATACTTAATTATCTTACTCGGGTCATGACATCACAGAAACTCTCACAAAGAGTTGCTCGGATGTTATAATGTATCACTAATCTCTTTATCAGGTAATTAGCATATCCCGGAGATTTAACCGAGGGTCCTTTTTGATGCAAATTCTATCTTTTTGCTAAATCTGCACGTGTATATGAAACTTGAAAACAATGCCAGTGAATAATGAGGATGCTCACTTGTAAACACAAAATCTGGGGAGAAAATTGGCTATATTTGAGGCCCTATTTAAAAGCCTTCCCTGTTTTCAATGTTCTTAAAACCTGCAGGGAATATTTGTTGACGACTGACCTCGGGATTGTCGAATTTATAAAAAAATTTATCGAGCGGTTTTTGGAAAAATGCCTAATTTTTAGGCATGGACCAAATTACGTCCAAAAACTGTATCAAAAGCAGCTGAATGCAAGTTAATAAAATTCTTCTTACTCGCGATCGCCCACAGCAATTCCCCTCTTTTTTGTATGCAGTTTTCAATGGAATCAAACTACTATGAGATGAAGCCTCGTTCCCAAAGCTTATCATTTTCTTTAAAAAATTAGCCAATTGTGTGGCAAGCATGCTATTTCACCGTTTTTATTATTCTTAAAACTACATTTCAAAATATTTCGAAAACGTTCTCATAGAATTTGTTCAAACTTTGCCATAATGGAGGTAATTATAGCAGGTACATACTCCCTTACGCGATTTTTTCAAAAAACTCCTGGAACAGAGAAACACAAAGATAAATGGAAAACGTAATGGGGTCATTATGTTGCCATGGCGACTACGACGAGAATAAAATCCAGATCATAAGAAATTTTCATCTTTATATAATACAGTTGTGGTAACCTTTTTCCAATATCTTTACTCATGCCGACGTAGTTAATGCTTAAACTTGGGAGTTATCAACCCCCAAAAATCCAGTCGAGCCACCTTAAGTGGCCTGAGTACGCTTTAGTCAGAAATTTGTTTTGCGTGTTTTGCCTCACAAACACCGGGTTTGTGCAGTGCTACTCCCTCGGCTCCCGTCAAGTTTGTTGCATGCTTGTGTTTATTTTGCTTTATTCAGTAATTTTTTGCTTTGCATGTTTTGCCTCATCACCATCGGGCTTGTGCCGTGCTTTTCTCTTCGGCTCCCCTCAAGTTTACACCCTTTTGGTTTTCTTTGTTTTATTCAGTTTGCTTTTGTTATGCCTGCTTTGCCCAACAAGCTCCTGTTTGTGCAGTGATTTTTCCCCGGCTCCCTTCGAAATTGCACGCTTTATTTTTTGCTTTGTATTATTCAGTTTTAAGTTTGTGTTCTGCGTTCTTTCCCTCACTAATTTAATTAATCTTCCTTCGATTCCCGTAAAGTTGGTTCACCACTTTTGTTGCATTTGTGCCTTATTTGGTCAATCTGTTCGGCGTGTTTTATTTTACACTGTTTACAGTGATGTTATTTCCTCATCCCCTGTAGATTTTGAATGATAATGTTTTCCTTTGCATTTTTCTGTAATTTGGTACGCGTGTTTCGCCACGCGGCCTCCAGTTCTGCGGGTTTACTCCCTTATCCCAGTGTATTTGCTCCCTTGTGTTCCTAGTTGTTTTTCTACTCTTTTAGTTTATGTGTGCTATTCGTTCCTCGCCTTTTCCGCAGTCATTTCATATGTTTTTCTTCCTGTGCTTCCATGGTAACCTGAAAGGGTGTCTAATGCCCTAGTCGGATTACTGACGCTCGGGCTGCCATCCCTTGAGGGGGTTCTCACGTCTTCTCTGCGCCTTAGGTTTCCTTTTTACCTTGGACCTTTATCTCCAGTTTATTTGCTTGTTGCCACTCAAGGGTTGGCAGCCTATTCGTGTTTTATCACGCAGTCCTCTCGGTATTCCCTGAAAGACCTCCTTGCCCAGCTCTCAGCAAGTATCAGCAGTCTAGTTGTTTCACTATACGCTGAGTTTAAGCAAAAATCTTATGAAAATGATGTGTTTATTGCTTCAGCTATTTCTAACATCTTTCAAAATTATAATTATTGCAGTTTAGAAATGGAACAGCTCTCTTTAGACATAAGTATTGCTAAAATTTGCCTCTTAAATTACTTTATTAACTGCTGATGGTTATCGTACCGTCAAAACATGCACCTACGAAAAAAAAAAGGAAAACAGATTTGAAAATTATCGAAGATTGTGTATAACGTGTACCTTGAAGGTCATTTTCACCTCTGAATTAAAATCCTTTCGATAATAAATCAGGAGAGGGCTTAATACTATAACCGCAAAGAAAAGTACAAAACTCTATCATCGCAAGGAAGGACTTAGATATCCAACCGACCACAAGGGCTAGTGACAGAGCCCCTTCCCCCGAAATCAGGGATAAGAGAGTGGAGCGTTTTAGATTTCGCGCGGTTTTGCGCGGTTTAAGCTCTTATTTCTCTTTCTTTTTTCCATGTCTAAGACTGACGTCACAGCGGCCATATTCGTGTTCCAAAACAATAAAAACGGCGGCCATTTTGATTTACCAATGCATCTTTTGCTTATTTTTAACACCAATAAAAATTTGAAGCTGTTTTTCAAGAGGGTGATAAAATCTCTGTAGCTTCGTAGAAGCCTTTGAGGAAACAGTCCTTGAAGAAATTAAAAGCTATGGTAATTAAACGGATTATCTTTTGTTAACTTGTTTACGGAATTGATTTCCTTTGTTCTCTATGAATTAGTTGCTCTTCATCAAGGAGAAAACCCAGCACAGAAAAAAGAACCATGCCGTTCGAACATGTTTAATAATTGCCAAATCATAGTGTATCCATCATTTCTTACCTTAGTTATGATTATGGACTGAGTAGCTTGAAACAGTTCCTTACGGAAAGCCAAATCGGCTGTAAACACACTTGAACGGAAACACGGATAACGACCTCTTTTCACGATATCCAGAGGGTACCACCACCTTGTTATGGAAGAACATTTTGTACCCAATGTTCCTGGTCAAACATGCAAGAGAAAAATTCAAAGCTCCATCGTTATCAACAGGAATCCAAGTTGAAAAGAAAAAATAACAACAACAACAACAATTGTATTCCTCTCTCAACTGGACTTATTTTTGCTAGAGAAAAACCGCCACTTTGTCACCTGCACATTGTATCAATGAAAGCAAGTAAACGTTTAGAAAAATATAAACTTGGATTTCTGAAAGGCGAAAACCTCAGTGTTCTTTTGTACTTGTTTTCAAGGTTTTTTTAACTATCATGTCCATCTATCATATCATCAGTCCGTTCCCTCCTACTTAAAAATACGTCGTTCACGGTATTTAGCAAAACCAACCAGGCTTACCAAGCTTTTTCAGATGATACTGTGAACTAAGAGTCATCTCGACAAAACTTTAGCTGTAATTTTCAAGTGTGGCTACTGAATTTAGATTCTAAAATAATAATTTCACGTATAATTACCCATCTAAAATTAAGCTGTAATAAATAGACCCCAGGTTCACCAACAACTCCGTGGAAACCAAGCTTTTATATACGCATCAGGCCTTGAGCCTACCAGAGAAGCATGGAAAGACCAGGCTAACAAGGCATTACTGGTTAAGACTTTACAGTCAAGGTTAAGGCTCGCCCATCCGTACCACAAAAGACTGGTAAAAACAGACTAGGCTTAAAAGGGTTAACCTGGCCGAGCAGGCTCCTGACAGCACTTTTGAAGCATTTAAGAGGTCCAAAATATATCTAACAAAATAATATTGATTTTGATACCTGATACATTTAACAGCGCTGAAATGACGCGAGGACTTACTGCTCACTAATTACCAGATCATTTTAATGATACGTATTTCAGAGTTTACTTTTACCTCCGAACTGTTCCGCAGCCTTTCAGTGGAGCCTTTATAATAACACTCTTCTTGGTCACATAACTCACACCACAGCTGGGATCGTTAAGATGAAGAAGACTAACATCAGCTCCCGAGGGCAAACTGTCACGTGCTATGTGAGCCACCATGTAAGAGGGGAAGCATGAAATAGTAAAGGCAAACCTGGGTCCTATGAGTCAGAGTAATAAAAAGGAAAACGTCACGAATCTGAGACTACAGGCACTATTTATATCTCAATATATTCTGGAAGAGTAAAATGCTATATTTTTGCTGAAACTGGGTATCTGTGGGATCAAAATTCAAAATGGCAGATCTATGACGTCATGTGACATCAGAACCCTCGGGGTAAGGTAAGTCAACTTTATTTATACACGGTATTTCCTTCAGGTACATTTTCATTTAAGTATAGAAACCTAACTACCAAACTAAACTAGGAGTAATCGGAGCTTAGGGGAGTGCGTTTGATATGTTTGTTAGGCATACAGGTAGCAGTTGAGGCGGAAGGGTAGTTGCGATATAGATAAATGTGATTATGACATCACGTCATCTCGGTAGATTTACTTTCTGGCACAACGGCCGCCGGCTACACAACTCGGTGGACTTACTTTGTGATACAACAGCCGGCGAGCAACACAACTCGGTAAATTTACTTTGTGGCACAACGGCCACCGAACTAAACCCGGTTTGATGCATGCACCAGGAGTCGCAGACATTTTCCAAAGACAGTGACGAACCATGCTGAAAAATATATGAAGGCTTAAACCAAAGTAAAATTTAACAGCAAACTTCTGAAAGATGAACGCTTTGGACGATTCAGCAACACAGATCGATGTACGCTTTACGAAGATTCAGCAAACTTTTTAAAAGATAAACGCTTTACGAAGACAGAATATCAGACCTCAGCAAACCTTTGAAAGCTGAACGCCGAGGAAACAAGAATCACCACATGAGTTAGCGCGTCAAAGTGAGGCAAAACTTAAGCAAGCGCCTCAAAGCGAGGCAAATGTGTGTCGACGACGATGACGAAAAGGCAATCTCAAAAAACCTCCCTTATTAATTGCACAGGACACCCAATAATGCACAGAACACCCAACACAAATTAGGGGTTGCGTTCTCGTACCTCGAACGCAATTAAACAAGAAAGATGATAAGAAAAAACCTACTATACAAGGAGGACGTGTGCAAAAATTGCGTATCGCTAATTTAAGTAATTTCGCAATCGAAATGAAGATTTTTTAATGTCGGTTTAAAAACATTAAGGGATGTTAATTGCCGAACCTCCAGGGGCAAGCTGTTCCGCAACACACTTCCGCTATATATTACAAAGGCTCTTTTATAAAACTCAGTGCAGGTTTGAGGAATGGCTAGCATGCATTCATTCTCTCTTAGGCTATAAGTAGTTAAATCGCAGTGACGAACATTAACGTATTACATTCGGTTGACGTAACAGTTGATCGTTAACGTAACATTGTTAGCCTAAGCAACAGATGGTCCTTTACATCGGCGACATTTTTTGCTGCCTTCGCTCCCACTTTTGCTTAAAATGCCTAAGGGAGATAATATGCCCGGGGAGGGGGGGAGGTTAATTTTTGCTGGGTATGTGCCGCTGGCCTCTCAGAGCCCCTACCCCATTATAGTCTATTCTGTGGCCAATTATAGACCCCATCTTAGTCACTTTTGGGAAAATATGTAAATTTCGCGATCCCAACTTAGTCACTTTCTAATTTTACGAAATTACTCATTTTTTAGATTGAATGAAGAACACTTTACTTTTCATCTACAGCACAAACATTCTGGTATGTTTGCTAACCGTAAATATGAAGAACTTTCTTACCCCCAAAAATCCGAAAATGTGCGACCTCATTTTACTAACTGCATTAAAAATGCGACTCCATTATAGTCAGTCCAGTCGTGAAATAGACTACGAGCAGTCTCTCTTTTTTTTCTTGGTCCGTCGAGCAAAATGCCCTCGTTTCTCGCGTCTCGCAGCTTCGTTGCTCAACGCTCGCGCGCGTGCAATCCCCTTGCTAAATCTGAAGAAAAAGAGAGACTGCTCGCAGTCTAGTCGTGAAAATGCGACTCCATCCAACGGCACATCCCAGTTAGCCTCTTATAAGGAAGTACCCGGCGCCCCCGGGATAATATGACATCAGTGCTCTAAAACACTGGACATTGTTGTCCTTTTCGCTTGATTGATAATTTGTGTAAATTACTTACTCGTTGTTGAAGGCCGAGGAGGATGCATTGCTGAAAAAATACGAGAAAGTAAAACTGAATTGAAAGTTGGTTTCAAAACAATAAACCTATTGTAATAAACACAAACGTCAGTGTTATCAGCACAGGATTTTATCCGCAGGGCTTTCGGGCGTGACTACCGCTAAAGGTCCTTAACGCGAGCCCCAACCCTTAAATGACCTTAAGTCTACCGTAAGCTTCAGCATTATTTTCCTTTTCGCTTGATTGTTAATTTGTGTAAGCTTACTTACTCATTGTTGAAAGCAGAGGAGGATGCATTGCTGAAAAAATACGAGAAAGTAAAACTGAATTAAAATTTGGTTTCAAAACAATAAACCTATTGTAATAAACACAAACGTCAGTCTTATTAGCACAGGATTTTATTCGCAGGGCTTTCGTGCGTGACTACGGCTAAGCATGTGTAATCAAATGGTGACGAGTGAAATTAGGGAATAATTTCCTTAATTTCACGAGTGTACAATTTGATTACCTATTAATATCATGGGTGACGAACTACGTTAGCAATCGTGAATTTTTGACATGTTTAGCCTGGATCGTATCGATCGAGAACTCCATTCTCTCAAATGTTTAGACCTTAAATTTGGCTTAAGTACAGAATTTTCAAAATTTTCTAACAAAATACCTGTTAGAATCCTTCTTAATGCTCTCTTTTGTGTGTTCAGGTTTTCTAAGGCGTCTTTTTGTGCCCTAACATCTTCATTCACGGCATTTAAAAACTCCGTCGCCATCTTGACACTGAGACGTACGGAAGGTTGCCATGTCAATTTTGTAATTTCACATGTGAAATTACAAATTAACGCTGAAATTTCGCGCCGAAATTACGGAGTAATTCGTCACCTATGATAAGGTACTTAACGCGAGCCCCAACCCTCATAAATTTACCGTAAACTGCAGCATTGTTTTCCTTTTCGAATGATTGTTAATTTGTGAAGCTTACTTACTCGTTGTCGAAGGCGGAGGAGGATGTATTGCCAGTGAAAGGATTCCCCCCACCCACGTGCTCGGCTGCGAGGCCGTGTCAGGTCTGGGGGGTGACGTGGCCTTGAATGCTCTGCTTAGGGCTAGCTTAAGTCTTAAGCTGCCTCTGTCGAGTAGAGCCGGCTTAAAGCAGCTAGAGATGGCCAGGTTGAGAATATCTTTTTGATGGAGATGAATTCAATATTTCTTTACTAGCCAGGAACCAAGAGTAGAGTCACCTTAAAAGGCTAATGGGTAAGAGCTGAGATTCTTTACAATATTTACTTTATTTAAGTCAAGTTAAGCTGTGTGGCCTAGAGTTCCCAGCTGGTGCGGCCAGAAGATGTCATTGAATGGTGACGGGAGAGCAGAAATGAGGCGAAACTGGGTCCGGAGGTGGCCTCCTTCTTCAAAAACACGGGATTTCTGGCCAACATTGTTTGCAAAGAATTCTAGTAATCTTTCAAAATGTGCTATTTTCAAGTGGAAAACGACGTCTTTTCAGGACATTTGTCATCAAAGAAAGCTGCTTAATTCCCAGAATATCCTAGCCGGATTTTTTAAAACGTTACCGTGAAATGGACCTTTTGCGTCCAACAGTTTTTTCAAAGTAGCAATTATAAAAACTAAGAGCGCAACCGTGATTGTTTTTTCTCTTCTCCTCCTTTCTTCCTCCTCGCTCTTGCTTTTTCTCCTTTCCTTTTCCTTCGCTAGTGTGACTTTTGAGCTTATAAGGCCCCAAAAAACTGCCTTTTGAAGCCTTTTTACTCAATGACTGCAAATTTCGTTAGGTTGGTTCTCAAAAAATAGGCTAGATATATCTATCTGAGTTCCTTAAAACGTGGCCACTAGGTTTTCGCTTGGTTCCGGGCGCAGCCCGGCTCTGGGCCACTGTGGTCTCCAAAAAGGTAGATTGCTTGGCGTCTTTGACGGCACGGTTGGACCCAGGGACTGCCCTAAAGGTGGATGGGTGGCTCAGGATTGGGGGCAAAACTAGAGGGGTAGGGAGGGGGCTATTTTGACACATTCCCTTGTAAAGAGCAGTGTTTACTAGAGGCTTTGACTGGCATCTTGTGTTTAGTTTGCCCAAGCCAGCTGAATCAGGCGTCTGCTGCGTCTCCCTGGTAGGCGGGGTGAAATTCTTGGTACTTAGCAGAGGACCTGTAGACACTCATTGAAGCCATGTTCACATAAATTCAGTCAGATATAATGTAACGTTCAAATTACACGTAAAATCTTTATCATCATTACCGTAATCGTCACCAACTCTGGGGAGTTCATACTGTCTAAAATAGACCAATCTTATGCATGAAGTGAAAAGAAATATCCAAGTTCTTTTGCCAAAGAGGTAGGGAAACCTGTTCGCTTTTTTTCTTGAACAAAATACACCGTCACTTTTTTTCCTCTCATAGCACTTTGAAATGTATATACTATTAGTTTGCAAAGGTGTCAAATTAAAAGATATAACTTGAAGTGTAATCTATCCAAAACATTTAAAACGGATTTTTCCTTTTAGCTAGAATCGCCAACTTCAGGTTGTAAACGGTTAACTGATTTTCAGTGTGCACTTTGCACTGTCACTTGACATTTTCTTCAGTTGATTTGGAGTTTGCTTTCTCGGCGAATTCGTTAACAGACTGACCGAGGCAGGCGTTTTTTTATGAAAGGTTTGATAAAAAAATAATAAATGATATTTTGATAACTCTTTGTGAACTGGATATTAAATTCCGCTTGATAGATTGTTATTTCCGTGCAATTTGAGGTGGAATTTATATTATGAGTCAGGTTGTAAGTTCCCCTTTAGTATCCCTATCACGTTTGCTTGTTTGTCAGCTTTGTTGAAAATAAACTAATGGTAACTACCGGATTGACTTGGAGCTTGACATACTTGTATTAAGGAGCTGCGTATCAACTCTAATATTCCGCCCCAATATCCCATCTTTGATAGCATCTTCCAAAGGCTTCAAGGGGTCGCTGATGTTTCTTTCAAATCGTAAGCGAACAACAGCAATGGTACTTCCTTCTCTGAAAATATAATATATCTTAGGGCCCATTTACATGGGGGTGGGTGCATGACCCCAGGTGGGTGAGGTAACCAGTTCGGGTGGGGACAAAAATAAAATTGACATCCCTTGGTGCCCTCTCTGAAGAGTATTGAATGCTTCCAGAGCACTTAAATAAAAACAAAAATGGTATGCAAACGCCTTGTTTTGGCGGTTAATGCTCTCCTATTACCCTTCACCTTAACCCCCCCCCCCCACCCCCTAAACAGCCTCTTCACACCTTTCATGTAAACGTGATGAGACATTATTATCGCGAAGTGTCAGATATTTTCTTAACCTACTTTATATCATGAACTTGCCCAGAAGCTGGCAAATGAAGACGAGAACTTAGCATCCATTCTCAGGCGTCCGAGGTCGTCCGCGGTCGACAGGGAGAGGAGCGAAAGGGACCGCGAACGACCTTGGACGTCTGAGAATCAGGCTAGGTTTAAGCATGTTTTAACTTGTTATTGGCATAGATAAGGCTTTCGTATGATCTGCGAAATTGTGCAGATCTCCCCTTTATCTCATCATTATCATACTAATGTCCATCCAGTAATTCCTAAATAAACGTCCATTTTTAACAAGGTTATGACCCGACTGTGATTAGTATATAACGGACCGATGTAATTAACAACTTAACGATGAGTTTCAATTCTTTACCAACGCCCTCCAGCTATCGTTTATTCGGATACAGTTTTCTTCTGTATTTTTTTCTTTCTTTTCTTTTAACAATTACACGATTGCATGTCAACGATAAACTGCTACATATGTCATATATACCTGAATTCCACAATAGTTATACCATATAGCTGCTTTTCGGTATTTTGAGATTGGGTGTAGATTTTTGCAATCTGTTAAAGTAACAGGTGAAATTCCTTCAATACATTTGATAGCAGACTGATTAAAGACAGACACCCTGTTGAAGCCAGAGATGTAATAAAAGCCTTACATGTAAATCCTGGAAGTTCACAGTATTACTCGAGTAGATATGTGCAGTTTTCCAGTCCTAAGTGTCGTTAATTAGCCGGGGTTTTTGGGTATTTTTTTTGGTGTGGGTTTCCCTTCATTTCAGCTTGTAAGTAACCTGAAGAGCGAGGAATTATTCAGCCATTGCTTAATTCTGTATTTCTCGGTTATGGAGCAAAAGAAAATGGAAAGTACAGACGATAAAAGGGTAATTGACTTACTTCTGATGCGACAGCTGATTTCAAGGTTTTATATTCAATTGCATTGGAGTTGTTAAACGCTTGTCTCCATCTGACGCTTGTTATTCTAATTCCAAATTCATGATCCTCACACTGGTTTTCTGGACCTGTCAAACGTAGACATAAATAGAGATAAATAATTATATTTACTTAAAAAATTAGAAGCAAGCTATGAGAATTCCTTTGCCAGCAACAAAATACCTCAACTGAATATGTTAAACCTCCGACGTACAAGGGTATAAGGGTTTTCTGAGTTTTTTCCTAGAGGATAAACTATCAGTAACTGACGTTTTCAGTAGTTGTTCATTCATCTCTTGCGCACATTTTGAGACAAGTTTAGTGATGGTCAGTTGCTATGGTTACGAGATATGACGTCATAAGTAGCATGTGGTCAAGCCATTTTTCGGTGAAAATATACGTTTTTTCTACTTCTTTCAACATTAAAAGTAAATCCTACGGCTAAAAACATGCAGAATGCTTATTTATGTGTTATTTTTCATGTAAAGCACAAAAAATTTTCATTTCTTGCGGTTTTAACCTGATTTCTAATTCTTGGTAAAATCCAAGATGGCGGCCAAGATGGCAACCATTTTTGGTGACGTCATAGGCCTCCAGCAGCGCCAGCACCCCTAAAATACACCTCATCTTGTTAAGACCATCAAAGGCTTTCCACTAAAGGTGAAATCGTTCCAAAATACTGCAACATATCAAAAACTCTGGGGAGGGGTTCCATAGTTTGCGTGTAAGTCCAAAGGTTCATTCTTTAAATATAAACCTGTCTGTGATACTATAAACTGATAACAGCCCCCAAAGTATCTTTCTGCAAGCAATTGCAGGGCGTTTCAGGCCCCACGTTTAAAAAGGAATTCTAAGACAGTCTTAGATTCGAGGATTCCCGATTCTAGGTACTGGATTTCGGATTCTTTGTCATTGGAAGTTGGATTCCGGATTCCAATCGTTGGCGGGATTCCTGTTTCCTTTAGCTGTATTTTGGATTCCAAATTGCAGGATTCCTGCATTCCAAGCCAAAAATTCCTGGATTCCCAATTCC